GCTCACAACGTACTTAGACATCTGGACACATTGGCTAGTAGACGTCTACTGCACAGATTTTCAAAGCATGCTGACATATAGCCGACAGGGGTATGACACGGGTAATGGGGAGGGTGACACTTTGGTTCTGACCTAGACTTAAACAGGAATCTTGGGTCGCTGGTCCATTCAAGCTGGGGACTGACACTCCTTTGCTCTGGCCTATTGCTTAAGCCCAGAGGACGAGAGACAGGGGCGGGAACAAGGCACATGCAGGAACCAACCAGGCTGGAAATACCGGTGGCAGGAAGGCGGACTATCGTGCCTGAGGGCGCAAATCTGTCAGGGAGGCTGGAATTGGAAGCCACACTGCTGACCTTAATTACATCAATACCTGCACACAGTACACTGACACAAGATTCCATTGGATACATCATGACGCTACCCACGCTACCCATACATCTGTTATGTTATTTTGTATTGCATTATACGCTGGTTTGCCACTTCAATGACATTTATGATATGTGGGATTGATTGTTTCCTATAACTGTTTGCCTTGCCTATCAAAGCCCTGCGTGGCTGGTAATTTGGACGTTCATTTACATGCAATGGACCTGCGAGTCCTACCTCTTTATTGCAAGTTAAACCGTTATGACACGCTCAATGACAAACGACAATAAAAATTTAATTTACAACAAAAAAAAAAATATTTCAACTACACCCCTTTTTCACACTGAGACAAATTCCTAATACACTTGTCATTTACATATTTTTATACCCTTCACACTGCTCACAATTGCACTCCAACAGTCACACACATATTGCTCAACTGTACTCCTGTGATCAAACAGACACTCCATACTTTCACACAGTATGGTAATAGTAAATCACATACAAATACATAATTGCTTTAATATATATACAGTAGGCAAAAATACATTATTCCATGCACACATATTCACTACACTCAAATGCATACATGTAGTCACACACAGGGCCGCCATCAGGGGGTGAGAACCATAACGCTTTGGCAGTCCAGGGTCCCACAATTACCCTCTGCACCTATATATAGTGATGATCGCTATATATAGGTGCAGCCGTGGGCCCCCCGGTCTCCCTATACTTGCACTATACACTGCACTAACACACACAATGCATTCACTACACTAACACACACACTGCATTCACTACACTAACTCACACTGCATCCACTGCACTGACACAGAAACTGCATCCACTGCACTAACACACACACTGCATTCACTACACTAACACACACTCTGCATTCACTACACTGACACACACACTGCATTCATTACACTGACACACACACTCTGCATTCATTACACTAACACAGTCTGCATTCATTGCACTGACACACACACTGTATTCATTGCACTGACACACACTGCATTCATTACACTGACACACACACTGCATTCATTACACTAACACACACTGCATTCATTGCGGGGGGTGGGAGGGGCCTGGGGGGCCCAGACCTTGTGCTTTGTCAGGGGCCCCAAAATTTCTGGTGGCGGCCCTGGTCACATACTAACGTTCAGTACGCATATGCATTCATACTGACACTATATGCAAAAAGGCATGACAGAACAAAGCCTGAGGCTGAAAACTTTAAACACTGATTGGTCCACATCACCCTTGCAACCCCAAGATGTGTGTCAATGGGTTCGAAGTGATGATGTGGCACTTTTAGAACCAAAAATGACGTCCTTTAAGTGTAAGAAGTAGGGTGCCTCAAGCATGCAGCATCCCTCTTCCTGTCAATAACATTCGCCTCCCGATGTTTGGAGAATGTCATGGCCACGCTTACCTGGGGGTCCCCCGCCGCGTCTCCGTCCTCCACTCCTGCAACAGTCCCTTCCTTGCTGCACTCCGACGGGTACGACCGCAAGGACAGATGGCCGGCATCCCTCTGATTTATGGACGTGTTCTCTGCTCTCCATGCTACGACCCGCAGGAAGCTCCAGCTGAACCCACGTTTAAACTGCACTCACTCTAGGCGCATGCGTGCCTGACAGCCGGCCTCTTAAAGGGACAGAACACCTGAAACATATTAAAGGGCTAATCACTGTTTAACCAATTATATGTGAGAGGTGGATACCTCTCTCCTATATAAATCCAGCTAACCTCTACCTCAGTGCTCAGTTATACTGTGCTCTTCGGTTTATACACTTCTGTCTTATCCAGTCCTTATCCTATCTGCCCTCGACCTTGGCTTACCCTGACTACGAGACTGTCTTACCCTCAATTGGTGCCTCACTTTTGGCTCACTACCGCCACCTGGGCCCCACCTGTCAAAGACCCAACAGAATAACTGAGCCAAAACATGGAACCCGCAGAGTTATCTAAAACGCTAATCGCCCTGATCAGACAAGTATCCACACTAACGCAGGCTGTACAAAAATTACAGACACATGCTTCTTCCCCTGTTACTGGATCTCCCCAATCTTCGCCTGCAGCCCACCTGATATCTCTGCCAGAAGATCACACCATGGCACCAGAACCACAAGTGTCTTTGCTTCTCAGGTAACAGATTTGAATATTGTTCCTTCATTATGGCGTGTGAATTATTTTTTTATTTAAAACCTAGCACTTATTATTGTGATGCTGTCAAAATGGGCACCATTATCACCCTTCTCTCAGGTCCACCCCAAGAATGGGCCCATGACCTCCTGCGCATTAGTGATCCCAACATTCAAACATGGAATGCTTTTGTTACTGTTATGACTGCTATGACGGATGATCCTAATAGACAGGATACTGCTCAGACTGCCATTAGAACATTACGTCAAGGCTGCAGACCTGTTGAGGATTACATAATAGAATTCAAGCAATATGCCAGAGACACACATTGGAACGACGTCGGGTTAATTAATCAGTTTCGCCTAGGTTTGTCTGAATCATTACCGTTTGTTATCTTAGGTGCCCTTAAACACAGTTTTTCTTCTGTTACATTTTTTTTTTGCTACATACTTATTAGCAAATAGATACATTGAGGTGCTTTATAATTATGACACATCTAATCAGCTGGGTGATTTTCTTTGTTTTTTTTTTTTTAGTTTTTATGTATCCATCTTGATTTACTGATTTTTCTTTTTAATTGAACATAATAAAAGTGAACTTTTAAATTACATATCAGTAACCTAATAGTTTCAGTTCCATTTTTGTTGTGCATTTAGGATTAAGAATCTGGGGTTACCCTCCTCTGTTCAGTAACTTGAACCCCCTTAAGGACAGAGGCAATTGTACATGTGCTGATCAAAACAAAACATAGTATTTGTGCTATATGTCTGTTCAACTGTAATTCACCTTTCATATTAAGTGCACCCACACTTATTATATGTCTTTTTATTCAGGGGAAACAGGGCTTTCATTTCACATCAAATCTTCATATATCAATAAAATCTACAAAATGTGATAAATTAAGAATAAAAAAAAAATTAGTTCTGCATGGCAATTTAACGGTGAATATCATAATACTGTTAGCTTTTATTGCAATAAAATAGACATATTTGTATCAGCGAGTACAAGAGTACCACCCATGTACAGATTTTATGATGTTTTGGAAAGTTACAGGGTCAAATATAGCACGTTCCCCTTTTCAGTTTATAAAACTGTACATTTGCCAGATTGTTTATGTTGCTTTTGAGAACGTATGGTAGACCAGGAATGAGAATTACCCCCATTATGGCATGCCATTTGCAAAACTAGACAACCCAAAGTATTGCAAAAGTCCAGTCTTTTTTAGTAGCCACTTGCGTGTGGAAAAAAAAGTATGAACTTTGGCTAGTGTTTGTGACTACTAAAAAAGAGAGATAGAAAGATATATATATATATATATATATATATATATATATATATATATATATATATATATATATATAATCGGTTATAATATACTTAGAATAATAGTGTGTGTATGTGCATATAAAAATACTTAAATTATATACATATATATGAACTTTTATTTAAATTTATACACTGTTTTAACACTTTAAAAAACTTTTGTGCAGCCATTAGGGGGGCGGCCTAACATTCCAGGCACTCCTCCTGCAGGCACAGTACAAGCCAGCTATTCCGGCAATGTGATCAGGAGGACATCGCAATCACATGACCCGGGAGGGCCGGATCAGCAGCAGGGGGACTGCTGGATCGCGATTGCCAGCGTTTTAGGACCAGCCCCTTAAGGATGGCATAGAACGCCCGGCTCTCTTTAGTGGTTAATAAAAAGCTTGTTTTCAGTTTGTTTTTACATACAAACACTAATCACAAGTGCACACTGCTTTCAAATTGCAACAGTACATACAACTACATTAAAATGCCAACACCACACACAAATACATTCAAACACAAACACTGCATACAAACAGTTCTGCAAGGGTGGACCACTGGTGGATCCACAGACAGAAAAGCATTATGGGAGATGTACGACAGATGGGGATATACATTTTTGCCCTGCTTGCCCTAGTGGGGGCACTCTCTAAACAGGTTCCGCCACTGGTGCTGCTGATTGCTTTCCTGGGGTACTGTGCGGTCTGAGCAGGCCAGAGGTCAGCTCCACTGGCTTTGCAGGTTCCCCTAAGCACTCTTCTGCATTTATTCAGAACTCCATGGCTGGTTGCAACCGTACGACTCTAGTAGTCCAAATACCATAATTTAGGTAAACATGGCAGATTTGGGAAAAAATATCTTCAATTTATCTTGGTTGTATTAGTGTAGATTTTTGCCATTTGGCTTTCAATCTGCTACAATAAGGATTTTTTATATATACAAAACAACCCAACTGTTTACCAGAATTATTCACTAAAGTGTGAATTGTCAGAAATGTAAAGTGAATTTAAAATTTTGGAACAAACAGCTGAACTGAAAAGAAAACAAGCTCGTAGAATTTTTTTTCAGTTCAGTTAATTTATACTAAAATGTGAAATTCACTTTGACTTTACTTACTCTGACTGATTCCTACAATGTTCTGCTATAGAATCCCTGGCAGGGGTGAGGATACAATGTTACAATAGGGAAGATGGAACGCACTTAGCGCATGCGCAGAGGAGTCTAAGCTGCTGCTGCGGGCGGCCCGGGCTGTGCTGCTTGCTGCTGGACTCGGGCCTGGAAAGCTCCGGTATTGCCGCTCTAATCCAGGGTACCGAGGGATCCTGAGCTGGGCCGCTCACCGCTGCAGGCCATGGGAGCCTGGCTTCCTTCAGGCCGGGCACTGCTGCTCTAGACAGCGCGGCCTGGAGTGGGGGATGAGCCAGTGAAGGAGGCAGAACCCGGATCCAGCTCTATAGGAGAGAACCACCATGGCCCAGGAGAAAATGGAGCTGGACCTGGAAATCCCGGGGGCTCCGAGTGATGGGAGTCTGAGGAGATCAAACAGCGCTCCCCTTATCAACGGACTGAGGTGAGAGAGAAAAGCCAGGAGAGGAAGAGTGATGGCGTTGGGTGAGGGGGGTAAGATTAGGACTAGAAGTGTGGCTGGAGCTATTGGAGGAACAAGTTCTCCCATTTCACTGTTCACTTGGTAGGAGGGTGATTATGTCCTTGTATTGGCAGTGAAATCCCAAAGTGCTGGAGCAGATCCTCCCATGCATTTCCTGATATTTTGTATTAATTTATTTTGTGATTGTGTACTAGATCAGTTCCTTTACAGAAAAACTGAGACTGGCATGTTGGCTAGATGGCTAGTTGCTGGTGACAGCCAAGGCGACTTTAAACATGGGGTAAAACTTCTGGCCGTGTAGAGTCAAACATTGGTGTTTATCTTTAGGAAGTTTGTGGCGTAAACTACTGGTTGCATATAAGGCTGACTGGAGACACTGCTGGTAGTGCATTGTGAAAAAATACATGAGTACTCCGTTAAAAAATGGTGATTGATGGATTGGAAAATCTATGGATGCTAAGAGCTCTTGGGCAGCAATACTGGGTACTGCGAGGGCCTGCAGGGTAAACCTTGTTCTGTGTGTCCTCCCAACAATCAGCAATGGGTGCCTACAAGTCATGTATATGGGGCATTGTTGGCAATCAGCATATCAGTGATTTTAATTGCTTCTTACAAATAAAACTCTGTAGATCTTTTAACAATTTAAATGTTTCTCGCAAATACAAATTCATGCTGTTCCTTTTATTTACATTTTCTGAAATATGACCATTTTATTTTACTTCTCAGCGACAATTCACAGGTGTTTCAGCCAGATGCTATGAGAGCCCGCCGCAACAGTACAACTGTAGTGAATCGTCAATGCTTGGTAAGTCATGCCTCAGTTGTTTACATCTGCTGTACATTTCCCTCAGTGGTTCATCTTTTGTAAACATTGGTTTTCAATAAAAATATATCCTCTTTTTGCCAACTAATAGTGATGTCGCGAACCGTCCGTGAACTTCTCGCGAACGAACTCCGGTCAGCTGACACATCCCTGCCAATCTCCAGGAGACCCTCCCACCTCCTGGACAGCATCCATGTTGAAGCTGCCTTCAACATGGATGCTGTCCAGGAAGTAGGATGGTCTGGGAGGGAGGGTCTGCCGTAGATTGGCAGGGATGTGTCAGCTGACCGGAGTTCGCCGCGAACGGTTCACGACATCACTACCAACTAAACATTCCACAGTTGTCAATAAGATTTTCTTGTCTTAAAGGGGCACTCCGGACACCACAGCCACTAAAGCTTGTTGTAGTGGTTATTTTTCAAGGACACTGTAAGTGACACACAGGACGTTACTTTTAAACTCTTTAGGAGCAGTTTGAGAAAATCTGTGACTTTCCCAGCTCTTCACCACTTGCTCGGCTAATATGGAAGTAAAGTCTTGCATTAGTCCATCCAGTTTGGAAGGTAATGATAGCGTGAGAGCGCTGGGCTCGATCTCCCCATCAGGTCTCAATCTGTTATTGCCACCCAAATTTAGGAGGACTAATGTGGAAATCAAATTCAGCATTCGCCAAATGGCTGAGCTGTAGCTGACAGGAGAAGCCACTGTGGAGCACTGATGGAGCATAAAGACTTTTTATGTCGACACAAAATGGTCAAAATTGACCTGTAACCTGAAATGTTGTTCTCATATATTAGTGAAAACTCATAGCAACAGATTGATATTCAAATCTAACCAAGACATAGTAGGTTTAACTGTAATTACTGGTTACGATCCTAATATTTTTCTGCTGTTGTAACCGATATTGATGGAGTTATTCACTAAGGTGAGAATTAAAAGTGAATTTCATTTTAAAGGAACACAATAGTGTTACGAATACAAAGCTGTATTCCTAACACTATAGGAACCCTGATCTTGCAGCCACCCCCAGCAATGTAACTGGTCAAAACAAAAAAAGTGTAATTGTTTTTTTTTTTTTTTTAAACTTACGTGATTCCAGTGCAATGTCCGTCAGGCTTCTCCAATGTCACGAAGAAAGTCAGTCTTAAAGGGAAACTATAGTGCCAGGAAAACAAATTCCTTTTCCTGGCACTATAGCTTCCCCCTAAGTCAAACACCTCCCCTACTCCAGCGTCAGTGTCCCTTAGTGCTTGCTCAGGTCCGCCTTCCCTCCTCCCCCGCCAGCTTCAGCCGGCAGGGGAGACCTAATGCATTAGGATTTCCCAATTGCTAAGCATTTATCAATGCTTTCCCATGGGGATTCCGGTGATGCTGGAAGTCTTCATGCATACCTGTAGACAGCCACTAGAGAAGGAGTTATAAAAACTGCAATAATTACATGCTCAGGGTTAAGGGTGCCAGGACTCTGCGCCCAGACCACTTCAGTGAGCCAAAGTGGTCTGGGTGCCTACAGTGTCCCTTTAACACTGCAATGTAAACATTGCAGTTTCTCTAAATCTGCAATGTTTTTGCAGGTTTAAGGGAATAGGGACAGTGTATCCAGACCACTTCAATGAGCTGAAGTGGCTTGGGTGCCAAAAGTGTGCCTTTTAAGGCTAAAGTTAACTGAACTGGAAGCATAGCCGAATTAGATACATTTTTAAGTTCATCTATTTTATTCTTCAAAATGAAATTTACTTTGAATTCTCATTTTAGTGAATAAACCTGTAAGTATCCTTGTCAAATAAAGAGCTGCAGTGAGTGCCCTTGTCGGCATCCAATCAAATACGTTTTTTTGTTTTGTTTTTTTAACTCTCAGCAGTCTGTTGGAGGGGAGGAGGGAAATGGTTGGTTGACCTGCCTGATGTAGCTAAATGCCATCTGTGTAATATGCATGTCCAACGTAGGCAGTAAGATATAAAACCAAAACTTACCTGGGGGGCATATCTTTGTATAGCTTCACTAGAAATTCTATACATTTTTTAGAGAGGAAATGTACTTTCTTTAAACCATGGCAACTTCAATGCTAAGTGCAGAGAGTAGCTTTCACAAGCTTTCTCTGCATTGAGTTCCGTAGGTAAGTTTCAATGAAGCTTTAGGAAAACTTGTAGATGTGTCGTTAATTGATCATCTAGCCTATGTCTTGTCAACAAATTCTATCTAGAATCCCAGACCCAACCATGATGTTTGTACGGACTAGGGATGCACCTAAATTTCTGTTGAAAATGGGCCGATCCTGTTTTGGCCAAAAACCGGTCAAATTTGCCGAAATAAAAAAAAATGAAATTACTTTTTTTGGTTTTTTTTGTTCATAGTTTAACAGTTTAACAGTTTAACAATTCAGATGATTATATATCATATATATCAATGAAAGATAGTAATGATAACATGAAAAGTCAAGAATACCCCATATGGGATGGAGGGGGGGAGGAGAACACTATGGGACAGGGGAGGAGAACACTATGGGGAAGGAACATTAAGGTGGGGGGGACCACTAAAAGAGAAGGGAAGTTTTTCATTTCGGTGCATCCCTAATACAGACAAATGTTTGCCATTTAAATGTTTATAGTGCTCTTGTATCCTACAATTTTATCAACTCAGAAAAAACTTTGATGGTTTGCAAACAAGCAAGGATTTCAGAGTAAAGCAAAGGGGAAAAATCGTTCTGGCAGCGGCTACATTTGAAATGTATTTATTTACACATATATCATTATATATATATATATAGATTATTTTTTTTTTTTTTTTTATAACGTGGCTATTAGAGAGCAATATGAATTGACATAGTTAAGAATGAAAAATAAATTCCAATGTGATGTTTCTCTGTGTGTTTGTTTTTATACTTGTGCAAAAATTAGTTTGAGCTGGTTTCTCCATATCACATTCGGTTTAATCCGCACCCGAATGAATCGAATTAATGAGATTCCACAAGTAAATCCATGACGAATCAACTCATTCGAGTTTGGATTAAAAGGAATTTTGATTTGGATGAACCAACTCAAACAACACTTTGCACAAGTCTACAGGTTGTGTTTTATATGCATAAATGGATACACTGAGGGGTTTATTAATGGAAAGAGTAACTTTTTATTAGGGGACACAAAGTTAAATATATGGTGCTCATTAACATATGCTACCACTGGATCTGGGCATTCAGCTAAATTGCTTTCCTATTGGGATATATTGCATGCTCTGTCAGTAGTTTGAGTCCATTGTTAAAGGGACACTATAGTTACCAGTACGACGACAGCTTATTGTATTTGTTCTGGTGAGTAGAATCACTCCCCTCAGATACCTTGAGGTGCTTCCTGGGGCAATGCTGCACAGTGAGCAGCACTGCCATTCAGTGTCTCCACCCTCTGCATGCAGAGACTGAACTTTTCCTTGTAGAGATGCATTGATTTAATGTATCTCTATGAGCAGATGCTGATTGGCCAGGGCTGTGTTTGACTTGTGCTGAATCTGCCCCTGATCGGCCTCATTGACAGTCTCAGCCAATCCTATTGGAATGCATTGTGATTGGTTCACAGAATCACTTCTGATGTCAGCTGTAAGCAGGCAGATCAGGGGCAGAGACAGCAGCTGCAGACTTGAATATAAGTAAGATTTTACTATATTTAGGGAGGCAAGGGGGAGGAGGCTAGATGATGGCTTTAATACTATACGGTCAATACATGTTTGTGTTCCTTTAAATCAAGATATAGCTTGAGTGTTTAGTCAGAATGGAAAGGGCTTAATTTGGAGGCAAGCAAATATTCACTCAAGGCCAGATGTCAAAGTTAAAAAAGGAGGGGGTGGGGGGTGCTGCTATATTTTACATTTAATCAGGAACACTTCATTTTCATTTAGATTTGCAGTCTCATGAGATGGTATAATGTTGAATTGCCCATTTACCCAAATTATTACTAGATGGGTATTGTAGTTAAAGGGGATCAAAATCAAACTCACGAAAGCAGACCAATTGTGGTTAATTTTCACACAACTCACTGTCTCTTTAGAAAATGCTTTGATAATTTGTGTGTAGTTTTAGGAATCCATGCATAATAAAAGCATTTACTCTGAATGGCATCCCACTCTCTCCAAGGCAACTTTTCCTATTTTATTGGCACAGTAATGTTTGTTTTTATATGTGCAATGCACCTCTCCTTGTTTGTCTACACTGTTAAAACCTTCAATGAAACACTTATTGACCATAAACGCACAACATTCACATAAATAGACATCCCTGCCTGTCCATCCACCATTTCTCCGCCTCTCCTGCCCAAAGTTTTCTAACCCATTCTCTTTGCCAGACAAGCTATTCATTGTCATAGGGCTGTGGTTTTGTAATCTAGTGCATGGTCCTACCAGATGGCCTGTACCTTGTACTGAGAAGGGAAGTATATTTTTGTACTTTATGATGCTCTTTGTATCTGAATAGCTGGTCATAGCAGGCATTTTATGAGGTCTTAACTGAGCCAATATATTCTTCAGTCCCTTGAATCCGTATGCCACACTCTCTTAACTTGTGTCGACTTTATTAGAGTTGTAATTTCCTCATTATGCACCCCAGGTTTTGACATGCTTTTGCTGTTTCATGGAATGGCTCTGAGTGTTGTGACTTCTGGAGAATTGTTGATTCAAATTTCTGCTGCATAGTCCCTACTGGATTCGTCACCTATTCGGAATTGACAGTCTCAACATTTTCCCATTATGTCACCGGTTAAGGGATGTGTTTTGGATTCCTCTGGATTGAAAAATCGTTTGAAAGCGATTTCACCAATATCTTCCTAGCAGCATAACTGCTGCAATAGCCTGTAGTGGATATGGTGCTTAATATGTCCACTATTCACAGTGGTGTAGTCTGTCACATGTCTCCAGCTCGGTCATGTTAGATGGTTTCCATAAAATGCCATTTATCTGGAAACCTGCCTATCCATTCTACCATGTATTATTTCACATTTTGTGTTAAATGGATTTTTTTTTTTTTATTGTATAGCAAATGCAAACATAGAGCAAGATTTAACGTAAGGCACATGGCCACCTACACAGAGGCTCATTGGTCAAACTTGATAAACATATATTAGATTGCAGAACAGTTCTTACATAGGCAATGGCAAACGATTTGTAACGGTATGAGATGAACTGAAGCTTATCGTGGTGGCACATCCGTGCCATATATCAAGGTGTCATAAAAGGCAAATGGTAGCTTACGTAGAGACTCATGGAATGAAGTTTATAAACGTTATATATTAGAATACCGTGCTTACATGGGTGGTAATGGTCAATTTGTAGCATCAGGGTATCTAGTAAACAAGTGGTAACAGTAGGGCTTAAGTTAGGATTCTACTTTGGCTTTAGGTTTGGGGATCTGGAAGCTTTCTCTTGTTTTGTGTGTCAGATGGGAGTTTGTTCAGTACTGGAAAGGCTGCTCTCCAGGGCTGCCTTTGGGTGCGTGGTGGAGCGTTGGGCCCCCTGTGTTATACATGGCGTTGTATGGTTATCAGTGTTTATGTAGTAGTTGCTTGTGTAGAGGCTAGTGCGTTGGTGAGGCGGTTGTGGCTGTTTTCGGTCGGTTAAGCAGGTGGTCACCACATGAGAGGAACTACTTGCAGTGTAAGTAAGATGGGACCTGGTTTTGACAGTCTGTGTGGTTTGCATGTGTGGGTAGTATGTATGTTCGGTTCAACGCCCCCTTCCTCCCTTTGTGTGACTAGCCTGTTTTTTGTTTGGAGGGTAGGGGTTGGTGTCGTGGTTCATGGTGAGTCTTGGATGCTTGTGTTGGTGATGTTGGAGTGACGGGGGCGTGGAGCAGGTATGGGGTGGGTAGACGTGGCCCATACTCGATGTCCGTCTCGTGGGAATGTGTGGGGTGAAAGGAGTGTGTCTGTCTCTGCAGATTGTGGCGGGCCGGTCCCGTCCTGGGTTGTTCTATGCCGATCTGGGTCGGGTGGGAGGGGGTGTTTATTTTACGTTTTGCACCCATTCAGAAGGTAAAGTTAAAGGCACACAATAGTCAAAAGAATAACTTCAGCTTAATGTAGTTGTTCTGGTGAGTATTGTCAGTCCCTGCAGGCTTTTTGCAGTAAACATTCTTACATTACAGCCTAGGGACACCTCCAGTGGCAACTCCTCAGATGGTTACTAGAGGTGCTTCCTGTGGCAGTGCTGCACAGTGTACAGCACTGACATTCACTGTCTCCACCCTCTGCATGGAGAGATTAAACTCTTCTCATAGTGATGCATTGATTCAATTCATCTCTATGAGGAGATGCTGATTGGCCAGGGCTGCCTTTGGCCCCACCTTCTTGGCAATCTCAGCAATTCAATGCTTTCCTGTGGGAAAGCATTGTGATTGGCTGAGATCATCACTTCTGATGTCAGCCATGGAGGCAGATCAGGGGCAGCAGCAGCAGACTGGAATAAGGGTAAGATTTTACTTTAAGGGGGGCAGAGGGGCTAGAAAGTCTTCTAGATAGTGTTTTAACACTGTATGGTCAGGAATACATGTTTGTGTTCCTGACCCTATAGGTTTCTTTTAAGTTTAATCTCACTTCACAACCTTTAAAAACAAACAAAGTTACAATGGTACAAAATGCTTTGCAAAGGAAAGCACATTACGTTAACATAAAAACATAGAATGTGACGGCAGATAAGAACCATTCGGCCCATCTATTCTGGCCAATTTTTTTTAAATACTTCGTTAGTCCCTGGCCTTATCTTATAGTTAGGATAGCCTTATGCCTACCCCACGCATGCTTAAACTCCTTTGCTGTGTTAACCTCTACCACTTCAGCTGGAAGGCTATTCCATGCATCCACTACCCTCTCAGTAAAGTAATACTTCCTGATATTATTTTTAAACCTTTGCCCCTCTAATTTAAGACTATGTCCTCTTGTTATGGTAGTTTTTCTTCTTTTAAATATAGTCTCCTCCTTTACTGTGTTGATTCCCTTTATATATTTAAATGTTTCTATCATATCCCCCCTGTCTCGTCTTTCCTCCAAGCTATACATGTTAAGATCCTTTAACCTTTCCTTGTAAGTTTTATCCTGCAATCCATGAACCAGTTTAGTAGCCCTTCTCTGAACTCTCTCTAAAGTATCAATATCCTACTGCGTACAATATTCCAAGTGAGGTCGCACCAGTGTTCTGTACAATGGCATAAGCACTTCCCTCTTTCTACTGCTTATACCTATCCCTATAAAACCAAGCATTCTGCTAGCATTTCATTTAACATGTAATAGTATAGAACATTTTTTTGAGCTTACAAACTGTGGGCTGTAACCTGCACTGCTCCATTATCCTGTTGCAGTGTTTTTGCTGAGGCCTGCTAGAATGAGTTATGTTCTCCCTGCCTCCCTCTGACTCAGACAGCTGCAAGGCCAATTCTATGGAATCCGATAAGAAGTAATTTGGGGTCTTTTACATTTTTGTCTCTCTCTAGGTGAAAACTCGCACAGTGTAATATATATGCTTTTACCTGTCTGGCAGTCTTCCTATGTGTCTGCAACAGTTACTTATGTTGATCGAAAAATACCTAGAAAGACACACATGTGTCTGTATCTGTTTTTTGAAGCACATGTTGGCGTTTGTGTAATTTATGGCTACCTGAGGGAGAGAAAAAAAATCTCATGTGGCCCATCCGACCCTGGAATCCATTAACCTGCTGATGACTGAGAAAAAATATCCGTCATTTGTTTCAAAATTGTGCATATTGTTTTTTTTTTTTTTTTATCTGCTTGAACTGTTATAGCTGTCATAATATCTGTTGCAATATGGGTTACAGATTTGCAAAGGTATTTTTATCTGTTATTTCTTTACCAAGGTGACAGCTGAACAAGCTCTGTGTAGAACAAAATTTTTTTTAATGTGACAAGGTAGCTCAAAGGATTTTATTAAGCATTAACCAGGGGCAGGAGATTTGACAAGAATTTTATTCAATTCATCATTCAAGGCTGATCTGAGCTATACTTGCTACATTCCCATGGAAACTAATTTGAAGAGATGAGCCTTATCTATTTATGTAAGAATTGATGGATGAAATAAGGAGATGCACTTTTACTTCTATAAATATTCTGTAATTTCCATGAGAACCGTATGGGGTGAACCATTAATGCTTTCTCTGCTGTGTACCCTACCTTTCTATTATCTTATTCTATTATACGTTATTTCTTGCTCATTTACTTCCATAAGTCATGGATCTAATTAAATAGTTGTAATTATATTCAATTTACTTTTTTTAAAGCTTTTTTTTTTTTAAAGGGACACTATACTTACCAGAACTACTACAGCTTAATGTATTTGTTCTGGTGAGTAGAATCATTCTATATATAAGTAAAAAATTATCGATCTGTATTAAAGTATGCTGTATTTTCATTGTTCCTGTCTGATAAATAGCCAGAGCAGCCTACAAACTGATGTATAGGTAACTAGTTTTTGTTTGTGCGCGCTTTTATTAATTTTTTTCCTCCTCTCTCCCTCTATCAGTGTAATATGTAACCTCACACGCCTTGTTTGTTTTTGTATTTTGTTTTAATTTACAGGTTGTGCCATCTTCTCCTGTGCGTATCCCAAGCAGTCGTCTTCACCAGATTAAGCAGGTACAAGCAGTGAACACCCCCGACCCCCTCCCCCCCTTATTTTTTATTTTTATTTTTTTAAACAAAGGGGATGAATCAAGTTTTTGGGTTATTTTGTTTTTCTTTTTTTTACAAATATCCTTCTTTGTAACACAGACAATATTAAGCATTTACTAGTGACAGTTGTTGAGAATGCAAAGTGAATTTCAAATTTAAGGCCAAAACAAGTGAATTGGAAGAATTAAACAAATCAGCAATGATTCCATTTCAGCTTCTTTGGTTTAATTTTGAAATTTACTTAAAATTCCTGACAATTGTCACCTTAAAGGGACACTGTAGGCACCCAGACCACTTCAGGTAATTGAAGTAGTCTGGGTGCTGTGACCTGTTTGCACTTAGTACTGCAAATATTAAACATTGCAGTTCCACTAGAGGGCTTCCGGAATTCAAACAGACTTTTGGTCCGTTATCTGGCGCTGGACATCCTCATGGACCTCCAGCATCAGATTTTCCCCATAGGGAAGCATTGAATAATTCTTTCCTATGGGGAGGTCTAATGCGCGCACAGCCATGGCCGCGCATGCACATTAGGTCTCCCCCGCCGGCTGCTGGGCACAGCCTGAACCATCGCTGGATTCAGGTAAGTGGCTGAAGAGGTTTTAACCCCTTCAGCCCTGCGGGAGGAGGGGGGCTATTAACCTTATAGTGCCAAGAAAACAACTGTTTTCCTGGCACTATAGGATCCCTTTAATGAAATACCCATGAGAGTTTGCAGCCTGCTTCTTTTTGTGTGTACTCTTACAATGTATTCTGTTAGCAGGGTTTAAAATTTCAACTTCTAATCCCTTGATTCTCATTGCTGCATCTTATAAACATGAATGACCTTATAAATATTTTCTTAACAAGCATCAACAGAGCATTTATATAATATAATTCTAGTACATAATGTATGTTGTGTATTAAATGTCCAACTATATAGTTGCAGGAAATTGAAACAGGATTAAATAATGATGAAAGCATCTAATAAATTTAAAAAAACAAATTTGTGTAACAAAATGGGCAGGACAGTCGTAATCAAAGTCTAAATCTCAGTTCCATGCAATACTGTGAAACCTGAGATTAATATATATCCTTAAACCATAATTAAATGAACGCTATAGTGTTAATTGCCCCCTCCCTCACCCCCACGGCAATTAGAGGGTTAAAAACTTTTTAAAACACATTATTCCAGCCCTGATGTGCTGGCTCCATCTCTGCCTCCTCCAATGTCATTGCGAGTGGGAACCTAACCTTTCTGGGGGGGTGGGGGGGTAAACCACTTTAATGAGATGAAGTGGCTGGCTGCCTATAGTGTCCCTTTAAACAGATGAGGTAGCAATGAACATAGTATAGGATTAGCAGGGTAACCAATCGAGAGGCAGAGCTTTGCTTAACTATGTCAATATTATGAATGTTATTGGTGTTATTTCCATATCTAGTACATTCTTTAAGGATGTCATGTGTATAGCATTTGAAAGTCAATATATTTTGATTATTGTTGTTAATTTATACTTACACAATTTTTTGATGTTGACAGTTATTTTCATAAATTTGAATCTTTTCAAACCTTGCTAAGGAACAGTTTTACAGGAAAAAAGGGAAGGGGTGCTAAGTTGTTATTATGGAATTTACCAACATCAATTCTGTCCACCCTTTTATAGTGACCCTGTCACTAGTTATATTCAGCCCAGCCCACCCCTTTGTTCCTGCTGGCATGTCTGTGTCCCACAATGTCTTAGAGAAGTCGTGACTTTCTCTAGTGAGGGTCCAGACTCCTGCTCCTCAAAGAGAATCACTGGGTACCTGATGCACTCGAGAGCCACCGATACATCCAGTGCTTTCCTATGATCTGCGATGTTACTTGACCAAGTTTCACTTAGTCAGTTCAGCAGAAGTGTCTCTAGTGAGGCATGTTTTACCCTCCAAGGTAAACATTGCCCTTTGTGCAAAACTGCACTGCAATGTTTTACCTTGAACGATTAAACATACAGGACCACTTCACTAAGATGTCTGTGTGACTTTAGTGGTCCTTTAAATATTTGTACTTTCTTGTGTCTGCTGTTCTCTAATATAATTCATATTTAGACAGATTTGTTTAAAAAAAAAAAAAAATCATTAAAGTAGATTAACAAAATAACATTTTGTTAACCCTTTGAGGACCATAAGATTACCGTCATCAATATAGAAATAATTATATTTTTTCCCTTTAAGAATGTATTTGAACAATAAATAAAACCATTTCCACACTTGTGTCATTTTTGGGGGAGGAATTATGACACGAGACAAATGTGTCCCTATGGTCCTCAAAGGAGAGAGGTTTCAAGCATTGTCTGTTTCTGGAACTTGAAATTTATTTTACAGTGAATTCTAAAGAAGGTCATAATAAATGGAGTCAAATTCTGCTACATCTGACTATTTAGGTCACTTTATATGGAACGCCAAAAGAAGCAATTTTTTTTTCATACACTTCAGTTGTTGTAACTAAGCCATTTCATGAAATAACTGGCAAAAAGCTAGATTCATTTGTTGATAAGAACTATTTTGACTCCAACCAAAAAAAGTATTTTAAGTTCTTAATCAGATGATACAGGCAATTAAAACATGGGACAAATAAGTCCCTTGGTCCTCAAAGGGTTTTAATCAGCAAAGCATAATAACTGTATAATTTTATAAAAGCACTGCAAGGGTACAGGATTTCTAAAGTGTTAGGAATACAAATGTGTATTCCTAAAGGAACACAAATGTGTTTTCTTGACTCTATAGGGTTAAAACACTATTTAGCCCCATGGCCCCCTCTTATCCTTCTTAAATAAATGGAAAACTCCCCTTTATTCCAGTGCTGCACAGGTCTGCTGGTTCTGGTCCTGATTCGCCTCATTGGCTGACATCATAATTCTGATTTCATCCAAGGAGGTGAATCGATGCATCTCTATCAAGATCTATCAGCATCTTGTGCAGCACTGACCCAAGAAGCACCTCTAGTGGCCGTCTGAGTGACAACCACTGTTCATAGGCAGAAATGTAAACACTGCCTTTTCTTTGAATATCCAGTGTTTACAGCAAAAAGCCTGCAGGGACACACTATACTCACCAGAACAACTACATTCAGGGCCGGACTGGGGATTCCAAAGCAGCCGTGGAAAAAAAAAATCTATGCCAGCCCCATAAGTCATTGCGCCATATATTGTAGCATGTAATATGTAAGGCTATGTCTTGCCACCCTAGATGATTGAGATATATATAATCTCCTTTTCCAATATAAAATATTGGTCCTTTCAGAGTAAAATTTTTAATTATACAGTAAGCATACTCACATGCAGACACAGACAATCTCACTGACACAAGCTGATTGATACACCGCCTCATAGACCAACAATCTCACTGATATACATAAGGTCATTGACATAAAAACACAAGCTCACTCAGTAGCAGGCACACACACAAGCAAGCCCACTCACTAGCAGGCGCGCACACACACAGCTTAATGTAGTGGCTCTGGTGTCTTTAGCCTGTCCCTGCAGGCTTTTCAATGTAAACACTGACTTTTTATAGAAAAGGCAGTGTTTACATTGCTTCCTAGTGACAGACACTCAGACGGTCAGTAGAGGTGCTTCCTGTGTCAGTGCGGATTGGCTGAGATCATCAAGCTTGATGATCTCAGCCGTAGAGGCAGGGCCAGTCGAGGGGAGACCAGCACGACGTGGGGGGGGGAAAAGTGAGTAAAAACACACATACACACACATACCATGACAGACAGACCGTGACAGACACACACACTGTGACACAGACAGAAATGACACACACACACACACACACACACACCCACCCACCATGACTGACACACCCACCCACCATGACTGACACACAGAATTGCTACCTGTGTGCTGGCATGGGGAGCTTTGATGGCGGCCACATGGGGGAGCTGGCTCTTCTGGCGGCCGCAGAGGGAGCTCTTTTGGCGGTCGCATGGGGAGCTGGCTGTTCTGTCTCTGCTCCCCCTCCCCAGCGCACTGCTTATATGACGTGATATTCCGGCCCCGGTCTCATTAAGCAGTGCGCTGGGAGGGGGAGCAGAGACAGAACAGCCAGCCCCCCCTGCGGCCGCCAAAAGAGCTCCCTCTGCAGCCACAGGTGAGCCAGCTGCCTGCCTGGCCCCAGGTGCCGACGGCCCACGGGGAAATTTCCCGGTATCCCGGTGGGCCAGTCCGGCCCTGACTACATTAAGCTGTAGTAGTTCGGGTGACTATCGTGTCCCTTTTATGCTTTAGTACCCTGGTGGCCATTTAGGTTTCCTGCCCCCACCTGCAAGGAATTATAAAAAAAAAAAAAAATAGTAGTTTGTTTATGCTTTCCCTTGCAGCTCCAGTCCCACCTCCTTGGCTGAGATCATTGAAATCCATGTTCTCAGCCTATCCAATGCTTTGAGAGGTTCTTGCAGAATGGCAGTGTTTTAACTTGAAGGGTTAAATGGTGGTGGGGGGGGGGGGATACATGGAACCCATACCACTTTGTTAACATGACACTCCACTGTTTTTTTTGTTTTTTTTTTAAATTATATTTTAGTAGATATACCTTCAAAGAAAATATGCATCTAAAAAAAAAAAATGAATATTTTATTTGGGGCATATAAAAAACAAACAAATAACAGCTTGCAAAGTCTGCAGATCTGCCCTCCCCTCTTTTCATGACAGACTTTTCATAGGTTTCCGAGTTTGCTATACTTCTCAATGATTTATGGTATTGCAAGGGAGTAAGGCAGACATGCTAATAGAAGCAGGAGAAACTTGTCCTTTCTGCGCTTAAATATAAAGGAGCTGGTTTCTATGGAAATCGAAAATTGTCACAAACAAGCCTCCAGACACACAAAGCAATTCAGCAAGCGTATTCATTTAAACATACATATATATTTTTAACCTTCCAGTATTCTTTTGGTTGTTATGATTTACGGCGTTACCTTTAAAATGTTTATATATATATATATATATATTACTTTTTAATTTTTTTTTTAAGCCTTTAAACTCTCCAGTAATCTAGAGTTCTTTGACCCTTCTCATGGATAGAAATATAAGTTCCCAGCACCTGTTGTCTCTTGTTGATGGTCTATGTCCCCAGGAGTTAGAGAACGTGGGCTGGATTCTGTTCACAAATTATCTTCAATTTAAATAGCAAACCTCCTGTAGACGTCAATGGGTGAATTCAGTTTGCAGAATGAAGCTTATTTCCATATCTCTTAAAATGTTAAAGGCTTTTCTCTTATTGCTAATAACTATTGTTTTGTTCCTCGTTGACTTTGCATATCTTCTCAATTGGGAAAGGAAAAAATCCCTTGTTGTCTAGCTTTGTTTCCTGCATTTTGTTTTGCAGCGTTGCCTTAGCTGTGTTAATAAATTAACATATAGTCAATCCATGTTAACCCAATCGTAAAAGTTTTTTTACTAAAATGTTAACATAATTATTTCAATGCATTATATCGATAATGCATTAAAAATATTGTCAGAAATCGTAATTTAAAAAAGTTACTGCTCTTTTAAATTTCCCTTCATGCTCTACTTTGTCTGTGTCTTCTTTTTTTTTTTTCAATGTGTTTTATTTTTCATTTTAAATTGTTCATGAAAGAACAAAGGTAGAGGGAAAAAACAAAACAAAAACGTGGGTATAGAAGGGAAGGGGAAGACAGCTTTACATATATTGCATCATTCTATACAAATGCGTCGATAAACACTTTGTAAACAGTTTAACATAATAGTGACAGTTGGCATTTTGTCCAATATACTTCATAGCATTAATAGTTATACAGTTTTATGCAGTTTTATACCGGGTCCTGTTCCCTGGCGCTAGCTTGGTGCCTTTAATCCTAACTGGGTAGGGGGGAGAGGTGGAGGGAAGTGGGGCTTCGCTGGTGCTCCATGCCATCTGAAACTGTCTTGATGGAATGTATTGTGCTCGATTTCTTTTCGAAGGAGGTAGCCTTGGAGATGCAATGTATGACCTACAGCCCCTATTGGGACACACCATATCTATATTCCACCCATCTGTGCCACCTTGTCTCGTGTCTGCTTTGACTATCGTTTAGTCAGTGGCGTACACATGACCCATGGGGCCCCGGTGCAAAAATTGATCCGTGGGCCCCCCCCCCGCGCGCTTATTCGGCGCGGGTCGGGGCCGCAACACATGGCAGCGGCACCTGGTCGCAGGGCTGCGACCGCGGTATGCTGCACACACACCTAAAGGACCACTACAGACACCCAGATCACATCAGTTCAATGAAGTGGTCTGGGTGCCAGGTCCCTCTAGTTTTAACCCTGCAGCTGAAAACATAGCTGTTTCAGAGAGCCGTCTATGTTTCACTGAGGGTTAATCCAGCCTCTGGTGGCTCTCACTGACATCTGCTAGAGGAGATTCCGCGATTCTCACTGTGAAAATCGCAGTGAGAAGACACTGAACATCCATAGGAAAGCATTGAGTAATGCTTTCCTATGGGCGGTTTAAATGCGCGCGCCTCTTGCCGCGCATGTGCATTTAGAGCTGAGAGGCGGAGGGATCCCCTGCGCCAAGGAAGTCCGGCGCTGGAGAACGGTAAGTGCTGAAGACACACACTTTTCGAACAGACGCATACACACTAGCTAACAGACACACACATTTACTGACAGAAACATACTCAGCGACAGACATACATACACACTCACTTACAAAACATACACTTTCACTGGCAAACACACACTCACTAACAGGTAACAGACACACTCGGTAACAGACACACTCGGTAACTAACACTAACACATGTTTTTTTTTAAATTGAATCCCCCCCAGCCTCCTTACCTTTTGGAGTGCTGGGGGGATTCCCTGGGGTCCAGTGGTGGTGCTGCTGGGCTCCTGGGCGGGCTGGCTGTCTGGGTGGCCGGCGTGCGAGGGAGCACTTTCCCCCTAAGTGCTTCTTCTTCAGCTCTCTCGCGCGCCGCGTAGGGATGCCGGAGCCGGAAGATGACGTCATCTTCCGGCTCCGGTATCAGTGCGGTGCGCGAGGGAGCGGAAGAGGAAGCACTGATGGGGAAAGTGCTCCCTCGCACACCGGCCACCCAGACAGACAGCCCGCCCGCTGGGGTCAGCAGGGCCAGCCTCGGGGGGCACTGAGGTGGCCGGCTCCTGGGCCCCCCAGGAGAAGAGGCTGGCCCAGTAGGTACATACCGGGTCGTAGGGGCGGCCGCGACCCCTGCGACCCTGGTATGTACGCCACTGCGTTTAGTCGACTAGCCATGCGTTCATATGTATGTGTCGAGTCTATTCTGCCCAGGATCTCTGGTAGTGTGGGTGCCAGTGTGGTCTTCCACCTGTGGGCAATTGCAGTTTTGGTAGCCATTAAACAATGGATCGTTAGGTAACTCTTATCTTCAGAGAGGGTGTCTGGGAAGATATGTAATAGAAAGCACTCTGGGTTCAATGGTATCTTTATTCCCAGATTTTTATAAAGAAGTGTTTGTATGTCCCGCCATAACGTAGTGATCTGTGTGCATGTCCAGAATATATGATAGAGGGACCTCTCTTGATTGTGACCTCTCCAACAGTGTTTGTTTGACCCTGGATAAATATGAGCCAGTTTGGTAGGGACTAGGTACCAGTGCATCGTTAGTTTGCAGAACGTTTCCCATTGGTTAAGACTATGGGAGGCCTGTTTTGTTTTCTTTTGAGGGTGGTGCCATGTTGCTATTGGGAATTGCCTCCCTATATCCGATTCCCATTTAGTCATATACTAGGGTTTTGTTATTTTATTTTGAAGTAGGAGTGAGTTGTAGCATAGGGACATTACTTTAATTTTAGGTAGTTTACCCATACATTTGTGGATAAATGGTGGTATGAGATTGGGTTCCCTCAGGCTAATCCTGCACTCCTGTATTATATTATTCTAAGATAAGAGAATAATTCCCGTGGAGGGATATGATATTCCCTGACTAAGTCCGGGAATGGTTTGAAGCCTTCTGAAGTCAGTAAGGAGCCTACATGATAGACCCCTTGTTTAAGCCAGTTCTCTAGTTGCATGTTTGTCGTTCGAGCAGCCAGGGCCTGAAGTGGCGCTGCAAGGAGCAGGTCATTTTCTCGTAAAAATAGTGGAGTAGCTTGCTTCCAGGTTTGGAGCAGCGATTCCGTGGCAGGCAGCAAGGTTTTGGATTTGGGAAGTTTTGTTTCTGCCCAAAGGATCAGAGGGATCATGCCAGTGGGTAAGCAAGCATTCTCTAACGCTAGCCATACCGGAGGAGATGACCGCTCAAGGATCGTGAGGCCTTGTGCCAACATTGACGCTTTGTAGTATAGTTTTATATTAGGTATGCCCAACCCTCCTTTTGTGAACGGTCGCCAAAGTGAGTTTTGCGCTATTCTTGGGGGTTTCCGTTTCCAAATGTGTGCATTAATTATAGCCTGGAAGTTCTTTAGAATTGGGTTTGGGATTGTAATGGGTAGGGTGCGGAATAGGTATAAGATATATGGTAAAATCATCATTTTTATGGTGTGGATTCGCCCCAGCCAGGAAATCTCCTTGTCCTCCCAGGTCTTAAGTTGTTGTTCTAGTTTGTGAGTGAGCGGTATATGGTTTTCCCGTATTATCGCCGAGTGCAATGCTGGCAGTTTTATGCCCAGATAAGAAATGGAGGTGTTCCGCCACTCTAATGGGTACAGTGATTTCAGGTGTGTTAGAGAGGCATGTGTCAGCCCTATCGCCAGCGCTTGTGTTTTTTTGGCGTTGTTCTTATAGTAAGACATCTTCCCGTAATTCCCTAATAAAGCTAGCAAGATTGGTAAAGACGTCTCCGGGTTCGTTAAAAATAGAACATCATCTGCGAAGAGGGCTATTTTTTGAACTCCAATAATTTTGGTCACTTTTTATATGTCTGATTAGGGGTTCCATACACAAAATAAAGATTAATGGAGAGAGAGGACACCCCTGCCTGGAACCGTTTGTTATTTGAAAAGGTTGTGATAAAAACCCAGAATTAAATATTCTGGCTGTCGGTTTGGAGTATAGGGCTATTATGCCTTTCAGGAATTCTGGAGGGATGCCCATGGATGTCAATACAGCCCTCATGTATGCCCAATTTAAGCAATCGAACGCTTTCCCGCGTCTACGGCTAAGAGTACGCCTCTCTGGTTAGTTTTTTGGGCCCATGTGATTAAGTTCAAAAAGTGTCGTGTAGTATCCCCTGGCTGCCTGTTTGGAACAAAACCTGCCTGTTCTGGAAAGACCAAATCTTGTAGGAAGGGTTGGAGACGTGTAGCTAGTAGTTTGGCATATAGTTTTGTCTGCATTTAGCAGTGAGATGGGCCTCAGGTTAGCACATTCAGTGGGAGGTTTGCCAGGCTTAGGGAGCGTAACAATATGGGCATCTCCTCCGGCATGGATTCGGAGTCCCTAAAGAAGTTAAAAAGATCTGTGAGGTATCCTGTGAGCTGTGCCTCGAATGTGGAGTAAAAATGGTCAGGGAACCCATCCGGGCCCGGGGCTTTATGTTTGGTAATTTGTGTATTGCGTTTCTTACTACTTCTTCTGTGAATTTAGCTGACAGTATCGAGCTTTGTTGGGCAGTCAGACGTGGCAGTGTCGCCTCTTTCAGAAAGATGTCTATTTCCGACTCTAGTGGCTGGTGTAGTGTTTTGTCCTGTGTAAGATTGTATAGACCCGTATAGAAGTTCGCCAATTCGTTCACTATGTCTTGTGGGTTAAATAGTTTTGACCCTGTGGCTGATGTCATATATGGGAGTTTGGATTGTATGTATCGGGAATTTGCCTGCCTTGTTCCCTTGCATGTAGTAGTACTTGCAAAGCTGCCTTTCCATACATATTAGGGACATTGCATGAAGCCTTTCTCTTATCTTTTCAATTTGTTGGGATAAAGTTCTACTTGGTTTTAGCTTGTTGTTCCTGTCTAGTGTTTTGAGTTGCGAGAGCAGTTTATCTGTTTCGTTGCAAGTCTTCCGTTTATTTAACGCTCCTGCTTGGATTAAAAGGCCTCTTAGTACAGCTTTGAGGGCCAGCCACTTAGTGTCTATGCGTGAGGGATCCGTTTGGTGGATCTCATAGAACAATGTTATGTTTGTGCGAATTTTGGTGGCTGTGTTCACGTTATCTATGAGGGATTCGTTCCGACGCCATGCACTCCGTCCCCGAGCTGGGTACATGGCTCTGAATGTAGTGATTACTGGCGCATGGTCAGACCAGGTCCTGTCACCTATTTGCACTTCTAGAACATTTGGTATTGAGCTCTTATCTACCCAACACATGTCTATGCGAGAGTAAGTGTGGTGTACCCGTGAGAAATAGGTGGTTTTTCTCCTTCGGGTAAAGGGTACGCCATGTGTCATAGAAATCATACGTATGAAGCAATGTGCTAAGAATAGAGCTCATAGTGCTGGCTTGCTGTAGAGGGTGTTTACTCCCGATACGCTTGATATCTAGCTCGGGGTCTAATGTGCAATTTAGGTCTCCACAGATTATAGTGTGTCCCACACGGAGGCTAGTAATCTTGTTTAACGCCCTTTTTACGAAGGATGTTTGGGAATTGTTAGGTGCATATATGGATGCAATCGTGAGTTGCATTCTGTTCAGTGAGCCCACCACAACGAGGAGCCTGCCTTGCTCGTCTACATATGTTTTGTTGAGTTGGAATACCCAGTCTGCATGGAACAGTATTGCTACCCCTTTTGTTTTGTTTGGTGAAAGAGCATGGTACACCTGGTGGTATCTAGAGGACATTAATTTGAGAGGATTTTTCTTGCACATGTGTGTCTCTTGGAGACATACTATGGCTGCCTGAGATTTGTGCATAGCTTTAATCACAGAACTTCTTTTGAATGGATTGTTCAGGCCATTTACGTTCATGGATAAGCATTTAAATTGGTACGACATTTTTAATGTGCGAGTTTTCGGGGCCATTCATCTAATGAAGAACAATTTATGTGAGCGAGTATGGTCCCTGTGATAAACTGAGGTGCGGTGTGTATCTGGTTGTGCCCTGGTGCATGACGACATCTTGTATATGTATAGGTTGTTGCAGCTGCCGGGGTGTTGGATAGGGGGTTTACAGGGTTAAAACACGGGATACAGAAATAAACAAAAACAAGTATATACAGTGTCTCTCGAACTTGAGTATAGCATGGGATACAATGAGGAACCTTTGAGCTCCATGTCCCTTGTAGTTCCCGTTGGGGTGTCGTGCGGAACAGGTCCGCACCCGGGCCAGATTCTGTTAAGACAACTCTGGTATAGGTAGATGACAGGGGTAATTTTGGACGTAGACAACAGTCCCACCTTCGTCTTATATGGGCCGGGAAGGCAGTGTTATAGGACATGATCAGAATTACTTGGGATGCTGCGTCAGGGGTGTTTTTTTTTTATTTTCATATATTTGCAAGAATTACTCGATTCCTTAACTCTGACCCATAGGAAACGTCACAACTACTCTAGTGCTCCGCGCTATTAGTAAGGGGGCAGGCGAGGTCCCCGCCTGTGGTATGTGTTGGAAGTCTAGCTGTAGTAAGATGGTTATCGTTATCGTTTGTGCCCAACAATAGTAACAATACATTTTATCCTAGTGCGGAGACGTCATCTAACCCCCAATGGTATTTGCAGTTAGTGCATAATGTACAATACCCAACCGGCTACATTTTTATTAGGCAGATGCGTATTATCTCCGGTTAGAGTTAAACATGCAATACATCATTTTGGGGACCAACGTCAGTGCACGCCAGGTTCTGTAAATAACAACATGGGGGAAGCGTGGGCGCCTAGAGAGCAGCGACCAAGGGGTGGACTTGGCAGAGTCACTAACGCTTAGGATGTATAGGAGTTTTTTTTTTATTTTATTTTTTTTCTTATTCCCTTTCAGTCCGACCCCCACCTCCCCCAAAAACTATTGCACTGACGTGGGCCCCCGTTACAATACCACTCTCGTTGGCTGGGGTCGTCGACCATCATCACTGCGGTAGCGTGTAGGATTGGGTTGGAGTGTGAGACTTTCAAGAACCAGCCCGTGGTAGCTTAGCTAATGTCCTGAGCGAGTGCAGCATCAGTCCGTTAAGATGTCTTCGTGCGACATTGTAGAACTTGCTGTCAGGTGAGTCCAGGGGGCTGTTGTCTTTGTCAGTGTCTTTATTAGTGTTGTAGGCCAACCATCTGCCATTCGGGCCGGATCTTCTTCGGGGAGGCCGCAGCATCCATTGTTGACTGGGCTTTTTCAGGTGCATTCCATAGGCCCCAGTGTTTCAATATGGACAAACCTCCTATTGGGTGGTCTATGATGTGGAGCTTGTTGTTCCTCCATACCATTAATTTTGTGGGAAACCCCCATCTGTAAGCTTGATCGTGATTGCGTAAAGTCTTGGTGATAGAGGAGAATTCTTTCCGTCTCGCCATTGTTAGGGCCGAGAGGTCGGCGTATATACAGATGGTGCTGTATGGTTCGGGCAGCGGTGACTTAGCCCTGGCTGCTTTGAGAAGTGCTTCTTTGGCTTTAAAGTAATGGAAGCGAACAATAATGTCGCGTGGGACTTCCGCTCCGAACCTGGATGGCTTTGGTACGCGGTGGGCCCTGTCCAGTTCCCATGTGATACCGGATAAATCAGGAGCCAGTGTAGTGCTTAAAGCGGTTATATATGTGGGGATCTGGTCTGTTGTGCCGGATTCCGCGACCCCCCAAAATCTTACGTTGTTTCGGCGGGATCGGTCCTAATGTCCGCCATCTTGTGCCACAGTTTTGTGTTGTCGTCTTCCAATTTCTGTAGCTTGTCAGCCAGTATATTATGCGCTGAGCAGAGGTCTTCTGTTTTTCGTTCGACCTGGTCTGTGCGGTCTCCTAATTCCTCCAATTCCTGATGTATGCCCGATATAGTGGTAGAAAAATCTTCTTTAATTGTTGCTCTGAGATCCATGAGCATTTGTTTTAAATATTCTTTCGATATTTGGCTGTCATCCACAGCTAGCTGTGAGGGCATCTCATTGTAGGCGTCAGGCTCCAGAGACTGGGCTCTGCTAACTGCGCCATCTTGGGCCTGTTTCTGCTGTTCTTTTTTTGTGATGTCGGACCGCATCCGTTAGTTTTGTTTGTTTCGAGGGTGACATAGGGTCACTCTTGGACTTCACCTCCCGTTTGTGGAGCTTGATTTTGAGTTTGTTTTGAGCTGTTTGGTAGATAATCTGGCCCGGGTGGTGCGGAGCTCCTACTCCATGCGACCGATCATGCCGGAAGTTGGACACGCCACCGTCTGTGTCTTCTGCAGGTTGATCCCCTGACCCTTGGATCAGAGACTACAGTCTGGATCATGTATCTCTGTTCTATGGGGACTGATCTAAATCTCATCTCCTGCCCAGCAGCGATTTATGAGATAAGTACCTATCCCTAGACTGCAATTCCAATCATTACACAGGATGACTGGAACTGCGCACTAAACTGATATCAGCCAAAAAACTGCTATCTGCTATCAGATTCACAGTTTAGTGAATAGGGTTGCTGCACACTCAATAGGGACAAGATTTACACTGGAAATCCGCAAATGTTCTGGGTTGCCTGATTGACAGCCCTGGTGAGCTGTCTCATAGCAGCAGGTTTTTGTTTTTATATTTGTATTTAGAGATTGCTGCCACCATTTGTCACGTTCAGAAATGAGTTGCTCTGGTTGCTCTAAGAAACAAAGGCAAAGTGCTAATGTTGCTTAGGCTGACTTTATTTAGGCTGTTTAACGCATCAGTTAACCACATATTATAACTGACACACAACTTAAAATTATCTGTATCTAGAAGACCTACATAGTCTTTTTGAATGTTCTGGCACACAGGCCCGTCCATCATAGTTCAATTGCTCAATTCCCTGCCATCTAGGATTTCGATCACTTTATTTATGCACTCTAGTCTCACCTCCCTGCATGTGACTTACACAGCCTTTCTAAACACTTCCTGTAAAGAAAGCTCCAATCTTTACACTTTCTTTATTACACATTTAGTTTATTTACCTGCTCTATTAATAACTTGCTAAACCCTGAAGGAGCCTCCTGTGTGTAATTAAAGTTCACCTTACAGAGCAGGAGATAAAAACTTTTAAAGTAAGTTACATCTGATTGAAAATGAAACCATTTTGTTTTCTTGATGGCTGTGTCAGTCTCAGCCAGGGGAGGTGTGACTAGGGCTGCATGTACAAAGTGATTTAATTCCTAAATGGCAGAGTATTGAGCAGTGAGACTTCAGGGGCATGATATATACACAAAAACTGCTTAATTAAGCTAAAGTGGTTTTGGTGACTATAGTGCCCCTTTAAGATCAATCATTTAAAAATAAGTAACTTGCCAGGGCAACAGCACCACTCATAGCTTGTGCTAATAAGATAGATATGTGTTCTCCCTACATGTGCTAGTAATTGGTACAGTTTCATTGAATCCTGTAAACGCCTTCAGCGGAGGTGCCAATGAGCAGAACACACTGGGCGTAGTGACAGGGCTGTTTAGGAATGTGAGATCAGATCTCCTGATTGCCTTCAGCTCAGATGTTGCTGAAAATAACAGCTTGACTTGCAGCAGGTGATGTCATGCCCTGAGTTCAGTCTGCTTGTAAAAAGCCAGTAACACGTTCTGTTGACACACCATACAATTTAATTCTTTAATACACGTATTCGCTACAGGGTTATTCACTAAACTAAGAATTGTTAGGCAATTTAAGGACTAAGAAGCTGACTTGGAGATTTTATTTCAAGTTTGGCTTTTGACCTTAAATTTGTAATTAATTTTATATTCTAGAGACAAGCTTGATTTTGCTGTAAATTACACTTCAATTAAACTGAGGTTCTCCTGTCTATCAAATCTGTTTAAAGATGAATTCCAACATTCCATGCATGAGCTTTGGAAGAACCTAGATATTGAATCTCCAGTGTAAAAAGTGGAGGGGAAATGGAATCTGATTAAAGAATTAACACAACTCTTCAATACCCATTGCATTTTATGTAGCACAGGAATGGGTTTGTTGTTCAGCCATGTTTATTCATTTCTGTTCCCTGTAATTTAACATATGTAATTCCTCTTTTGTTTTACTGGATTGCTGACTGAGCTGAAAGGCTCCCAGATATTTTTAAATAGACCTAATTATGGCACTGAGGTTTATTTGCAAATAGCCACAGCAAAATATTGTTACAGGATCTCTGGGCTGGAGATAATTTGGAAGAAAGGTGACCTTGGCAACACAACTATAATTAGTCTGTTCTCTATCAATGCAATTTAATTAAACAAATTAGAGATTTAGTTGCCATTTGGCTGTTTGGTTTGTTAAAGGGACACTATAGGCACCCAGACCACTTCAGCTCATTAAAGTGGTCTGGGTGCAGTGTCCCAGGTCCTTTAACCCTACAGGGGTTATTATTGCAATTTTTAATAAACTGCTATAACTACATTGAAAGGTTAACTCCACGTGGTAGACAGCCACTAAAGGGACTTCCGGGATGTCAGGCGACTTTAGGTCGCCTAACTGACGCTGGACGTCTTCACGCTATGGATAAGGACATCCAACGTCATGTAAAACCCTCTTGGAAAGCGTTATACATGCTTTCCTATGGGTGAAGTAAGAATGAGAGCATGGCCATCGGCGAGCATGCGCATTAGGTCTCCCCTGCTGGCTGACGCTGACGGGGGAGAAGGCGGAGCCTGAATCAGTGCCGGTAAGTGACAGAAGGCGTATTTATCTTTTTCAACTTTGTTTTCCTGGCACTATAGTTTCCCTTTAAGAGTAGTCAAATCTTTAAATAAGCTTCCTAATTCAACTATTCCCAAATGGCAATTGCATCTGTAATAATACCAAAATTTGCCTTTTGTGAACAGATTAATGTGTTTCACTTGGCAAACTCTTGGTCGAAACATATAGATTATATTAGCCAAATTCCATTCGACCTCTGTTCATCATTTAGTGTATAGACTTTCAAAGCTTCCTAATTGTCAAGCAAAACACCTGAGGTGCCTTTCTTAGCTCTCCCCTGGTCACGGTACACAAGACACAATAATTTGTAAACTGCGTAATTCTGGTTATTGACTGTTGTGACTACTCTAACTATGAAGAATCACTCTTTTTCCCCAGTATTTTTTTTTTGTTGTTGTTTTTTTTGCACTCATTTTATTTTTCTGTGTTTTTAGGAGGAAGGAGTGGACCTTATGATTAACAGGGAGACTGCACATGAAAGGTCAGTCTCAAAATGAGAATTAAAATGTAGATATTCTCACACACACATTTTTGAACATTTTTTAATTTTTTTTATTTTGTTTATTGCTGTGAATTTTGTTACAGGGAGGTACAAGTGGCAATGCAAATGAGCCAGTCCTGGGAGGAAAGCCTGAGTCTGGTAACTGTTTCACACAGGTTTATTTATTTCTGTTACGGTGTTGCTTTTTTCTATATTAAGATACATGGGGGCTTTCAAACACATACCTATGCAGTTTAGGGCACTAGGATACATTTAAACAATGTACAATATAATCTGCACAGATGCGTCTAATCTTAAATCAAAGTTGTTGCTGGATTACATCCCAAACATTTCTGCCATCCATGGATATTATGGGAATTTACTGCAATAATTGCTAAATGGCAAGGTTGAAAAAAAAACAAAAAAAAAAAAAAACACCAAACACTCTCTCTCTCTCTCTCTCTCTCTCTCTCTCTCTCTCTCTCTCTCTCTCTCTCTCTCTCTCTCTCTCTCTCTCTCTCTCTCTCTCTCTCTCTCTCTCTCTCTCTCTCTCTCTCTCTCTCTCTCTCTCTCTCTCTCTCTCTCTCTCTCTCTCTCTCTCTCTCTCTCTCTCTCTCTCTCTCTCTCTCTCTCTCTCTCTCTCTCTCTCTCTCTCTCTCTCTCTCTCTCTCTCTCTCTCTCTCTCTCTCTCTCTCTCTCTCTCTCTCTCTCTCTCTCTCTCTCTCTCTCTCTCTCTCTCTCTCTCTCTCTCTCTCTTCTCTCTCTCTCTCTCTCTCTCTCTCTCTCTCTCTCTCTCTCTCTCTCTCTCTCTCTCTCTCTCTCTCTCTCTCTCTCTCTCTCTCTCTCTCTCTCTCTCTCTCTCTCTCTCTCTCTCTCTCTCTCTCTCTCTCTCTCTCTCTCTCTCTCTCTCTCTCTCTCTCTCTCTCTCTCTCTCTCTCTCTCTCTCTCTCTCTCTCTCTCTCTCTCTCTCCTAGGAGTCCCCTGATTTTTGTCAAACTGCCCATATGTTTAGCATGTACCATCTATAATGGTCATGGTTCTAAGGAAAGGAGAACATGTGCAGGTTTTTATTTTATTTTTCACATGTCGCAAATATATATCTGTTAAATATAGGGGACATTGAAGTGTCAATAAAAAAAAAATTGGACTTGTTTAGGATTAGTTACTTTGTTAATGACAAAACCTTTTGCCCGAATATGTTTTCCATCTTATCGGACACCTCTTGTAGTGTTTTGTTTAATTTTTTTGTCATTACTTGAAAATGTCTTCCAATTGTTCTGTGCTCTTATATTTTCCAGTAATGATTCCGTGTCATGTTTTCACAGAGTGACAATGATCTGGAGAAATCATTTTCTCCTAAACGAATAGATTTTGTCCCAGTGTCCCCAGCGCCTTCTCCCACTAGAGGAATTGGAAAGGTAATAATATCAACAGTTCAGCACTAATACAGCAATATAATCTGGGGGATCTTTTTTTGCTGCCGTTATAAGATTCTACGGCTGCTTTTTTATGCTGATAGCTTTATTAAACAGAAGAATTAAATTTAGAAATCCCTTTGTAGTGCGTTTTAAGGCATTTGATTGTTTAATCCTCAGGATTTATGGGCAGCTGAATGGCAGGATGGCAAGGCATAACATGTAATATGTGACATGTAACCCATCAGATAGCCACAGGTGATATGGTATGCATCACGTGTCCCAGATGTAGATGTACATGGCCCTCTGCACCCACATTTGAAACTAGTCAAACTGAAGCCAATAAGGTAGCTCAGATCAGCTAATGGGAATTCCTGCTTAGGAACTTGCTCTTTGGTGGTAGAGTAGTGGAGGTGGAAGCTGCGCCCAAAGGTCCCTGTATTCCTGACCCAATAGCGAAAACCACCATTTAGGTGGCTTGCACCCCGCCCATTACCCCCTCAAAATGTGTTAAAACTCACCTTATTTTCAGCTCCCCATGGGTCTGCACGCACTGGCCTGTCCCCTTGGTGACATCATCAGAATTGCTGATTTTTAGCCAACCCAGTGCTTTCCCATAGAGAAAGCATTGGATTGGCTAAAATCGGCAAGGGGGTGGGGCCAAACGCTGTTTAGGCCAGTCAGCACCTCCTCATAGAGATGCATTGAATCAATGCATCTCTATGAAGAAAATTCAGCATCCCCATGCAGAGTGTGGGGACGTTGAATGGCAGAGCTGCCTACTGTGCAGCACTGAGACAGGAAGCCCCTATAGTGGCCATCTGGGAAGTGCCAACTTGGAGGAGTCCCTAGGGGAAATGTAAAAACTGCCTTTTCTCTGAAAAGACTGTGTTTGCATTAAAATGCCTGAAGGTAATGATTCTACTCACCAGAACAACTACATTAATCTGTAGTTGTTCTGGTGACTATACTGTCCCTTTAAGATTTCAAACTAATTAGGGGGTTTTGACCTGGAACTCATGGCACCATAACCATCCTCCTCGTAATTAGCCAAACTATGTTCTTGAAACTTTCTGTAACCTGAGCAGGGACTGTTTTCTACAGGTTACTCAGGACATTGTAAGACCTGCAAGTCCCATCTCAGGAAAGGCACAAAGATTAGTCCGCAAAACCTCCTTGACTGCTTCTTAGAAATATTTATATGTTTTTTGTTTTTGCTTTATATTTCCACAAAATAACTTTTTAAAGTTTCAGTTAAAGTCAGAAAATAGTTTTTTCCTTTTTGCTAATAGTTTTACCTTAGAACTTGTAGAAGAATGCATTTATGTACAAGTTGCATTCCATTACAATAAAAGGACATATCTCTATATTGTTTATGATAGTGTCAACACACTATCTCCCTCTATTTGTACCTCTAATAGAAGAACATCAATACATTTTGATTATTGAATTAAAATTGATTTCCCTGATCTCACACAAACATTTTGTTGTACATCATAAATTAACTGCTACTAACAAGTATTCTTGCCCAGCAATAGTTTTGGTGAACAAGCAGTGTTCCACTATTTTCATTACTCTTAGGGTTTGAATTATATGCTTATAGAGGAGAAATCTTCCACAAAATCATTAGATGCATCCCCATCAATGAGATTGCAGATAGATAGTATAATAGATTAAAAATTAGATCATAGAATATTTTATTTTAGCAACGCTGTACTTTTACATTTGTTGCATTTAAGATTAAAGGGTTACTCCAACAAAAGTGTTTCCTTAAAACACCATTAACCCTTGCTTGCTTTCCCTTTTAAACAAAAAAACTGTGATCCCATGCCAAGTTCTCCATGTAGCATGAGTGCTGAGTTAGGTGACGTCACTCCCAATCTCTGCAGGGAAAGGGACGTCCCTGAGGCTGGGCGAAGAGAGAACTTGGAGCAAAGGGGGGCTGGCTCGGCGTTGCCACAACTAGCTATGCGTGTTCACCACACATTTTTTATGTCCAGAATTGACATAAACAGAGAGTTTTGGGCTGCTAATGATGCTGCTGCAGCAACACTAAATAACACTCTATGTGCAGTGTTTCTTCCGAAAATGCTGCACATCCAGACTCCAAACACCCTGACCTCTGTAAATCATTGATGTGGTCATAGTGCTCCTTTTTAATACAAAAGCAAAAATCAGACTTCCCACATGAGTATACAATGATGACCTGAGAATAACTTGGATATTTGGTTTCTCCCTAGCAATGTTTTTCGCCATCATTACAAATTTTCGTCAGCAGTAATGGATTGCCTCCTAGCCCCACTCCAAGTCCAACAAGACGTTTTGCAAAGTAAGTATTAAATCAGTGCCTTCACATAATATTACATTTTTTTTATTTAGAATAAATCTTCAATAACACTCACTCATGCAACTAATCAAAATGTATTTAGTAATTGAAAATGCATTTCATATTTAACTTTTTTTTTTTTTCTCCCACTTTTCAACATCTTCATTTACATTAATGAAACATGCAAACATTCTTGCCATTACTGGAGTGTCCGTGCGCGCATTAGACCTCCCCATAGGAAAGCATTATTCAATAATTTCCTATGGACGTCCAGCGTGAGATAACGGACCGAAAGTCCATTTCGAATCCAGAAGCCCTCTAGTGGCTGTCTGGTAGAGAGCCACTGGGGGCAGATTTAGAGCTGCAGTGTAAACATTGCAGTTCTCTTGAACTGCAATCTTTAACATTGCAGCACTGAGTGCAAAAGGGACACAGCACCCAGACCACCTCAATGAGCAGACGTGGTCTGGGTGCCTATAGTGTCCCTTTAATCCTAATTTTTCAGACCCTGTGTAAAATATTGCAAGATACAGTCTAAAGCTTTTATTGTCCATATTCTTACAAGAAAATGACCAAATAAATGAAAAAGAAAAAATAGTGAAAATGTATATTCTTTTAATTCTTATGCTTTACTTTGCATCAAATTGGTGTTTTATCATACATGTTTTATTATCATTATTATTAATATTATTTTTGCAGTGCATAAGTTAAATACATACAGGCCTGAGGTACCCCAACGGCATTCCTCTGGCTAAGTATCACGTAGTACAATTGGGTTTTCAATAAGACATGCACAATTTAGTAATTTTATAATCAGGAGGGTTAATCAGAGGAGAGACAGAAGAATAAACAGATGAAATAAAGGCTGGAGCGACTGATTAAATGACTATGTGATGGGTAAGATGATTAGAGAGTATGCTAAACAACTTATAAGTACCGCTGAATACTGCATTAGAGTAGGTAGTGTAGGCATGGAGTAATCTAACTCTGTGGTGCCAGGCAGCTAGGGTGTCCTTTAGGAACTTTCAGCCCACTCCACATAGAGGCTTTGGGGGAGAGTCCTTCTCCATGGTAAGCATAGTCTGTAGGAGAGTAGCCATGTAGTGTCTGGGGATGGCTTCCCTCCAGCCCTGGATCATTGTAGGGGCCAAAACCACTGGGCCACGGACTCGGGAGTTCTGTAAGTCCAAGTCCTTCCCTTGAGTGGGATTGCGTGAGGTCCTGATGGTGCGATGCCGGTGAGCCTCCGCTTATGTGGACTGTGCATCCTGGATTGACCCCTGGTGGCCCTCAATCCAGGAGGGCATTCTCTGAGGGAGACAGGAGTGTGCTCGAAGGGGGCCTTCTCCGCTTTTTTCCAGTTCTTCTTTCCAGGCTCTGCGGGTAAGTAGGTAGGAGTTGTGATGCGTACCCTTAGTTTGGCCCAGAACTTGGCAAATATAGCCTCCAGCGAGGGCCTCCGGGGCTGTCTGTCTGTTGCTGCATTGGGTCGCTGGGTTCAGGCTTGGGCGGCAGCTTCGCTGAAGAGGCTGGTAATTTCCTCCATGCCTTGACTGTCTCCCCTGAGCTCCGTCTGTGGTAGGCCGCAGATCTCTGTTGCAGGCTCTCCGTCATGGAGTAGTCAAAGAGTAGTCGTTCGGTTCAGCAGGTCTCCCCCGGGTGATAGGGGCACAAGTAGACCTGTTCAAGCTGAGTGCCTGGGTGGATCTCCCTGTTTGTAGCTGAAAATGCGGGGGCCTGCTTACCACGCGTCCGCTCGTCGGTGGTGGTGTAGATGTACAGATTGTTTCAAATAAATTGTATGCTAAAAATATTGCAAACAAAATGTGTTTGGAAGTGAATGGGTTAATAGTCCTTGTATCAATATGAAATGCAATATTGTATAGTAGATATGGTGTGCTTCATTTATCCTTCATAGTAGATATTGTGTACTTCATGTATAGCTCTAAGGACATTTGGTAGAATGCAGAATTCACATTTGAATGTATAGTTAACATTAAAGCAACTCTGTCATTTTTACTTATTTATTGTTTAAATGTATTTAATCATATTGTGTTGAATATCCCCCTTGTCAGCCCAGTGTTTTATTTATTTTTTCAAAATGACGATTATTTTTTTACAAATAAGGAAAAATACAGACTACTTTTCCTTATGTATAACCTGCAGGTTAACAAATGTTGACAAGGGCTGGAGCATTAATCAACTTTCACGTCCTTCGTCACTTTTGTCATTGACTGACCACTTAGCACTGCTAGCTTTGATTTACAGTGTCTTTCTATTTTAGCAGGAGGAGTCAGAGTCCCATTAACTGCATTCGACCTAGTTCACTTGGACCTCTTAAACGAAAAGGTAGGACTAGCTATTTTCCTTCACCAACAAGTTCCTTATCTTTCACTCTGCAGATCCTACTGAGAAACAAAAGACTTCTGTTTCCCTGTGTGTACTGATCAGAACATTTTTTTTTTTAAAGGTGACATGGAGATTGAAAGTCAGCCAAAGAGACTTTTCCAAGGAACTACAAACATCCTTTCACCAGATGTTGCTCACTTATCAGAGTTGGGTGCTTGGTAAGTGTCTTCTGTCAATGTCATGCACAACTGTCTAATGTTGCATATAGAAATGATTTTATATTTTTATATTACAATGCCAATTCAACATTTTATAGGTTTTGGCCAAATCACCATAACATAGTGGGTGTTTTTATGATATTTATGATATTTTTATTTGTTAAAGAGTCCTCTTCTAAACTGGAAGTTGTCATAAATTGATAAAATGTAAATTTGAGAAAATTTCTAATAGAAGCTATTTTGGTCTAAACGTTGTATTGTTGGATTCATAGAGAGAATTTTCACGTAGAACAAAAAAAGAGGACTTACTAGTTCATATACTGAGATTAGTATTCGTTGAATATTATTAGTACAGGCAGAACTTTGTAGCTTTCAGAAATGTTTGACAACTTACCTGGTTTCTCCAGAAGAAGTCAAATGTCTTCATTGAGCAATGGAGGTCCAATACAGGAACCTGTTTATTGGCTGACATTGTCAGCCAAGGAGAGCCCCTGGTTAGCTCAGTGGAGGAAGCCAGATACACCTACAACATACACAAAGAATCCAGAAAGTAGGACTTCAGTCATGGGTGGTAGGACCGAGGTACATTGTCAAACCATTCTGAAATAGTTTGAAAGATTACTCTGAAAGGGGTTCCAGGGCACCATAACCACTACAACAGGCAGAAATGTTTATGGTGCATGAAGAGTTCAAAATGTTTAATTTTATTTTTTGGTGTTTCGGGTTTGTTATTTGTACCTCTTTATAGATTACAGCTTTACTATTGGCATAGTAACATAGACCATCTTAAATGTATATTACTTTACAAATGAATATTTGTAAACTAGAATAACAGAAATAGTTGTACTGAATAATTATTGTACGGGATCAAACGATACATTTCTTATATATATTTTTGATCCAGATCTGACCATATAATAAGATATAAAACAATAATGCATTTTCTTTTTATTCCTTGTTTCTGCAGCCTGTCTTCCGAAACTCTGGATTGCAGTAGCAGCAGCCTCAGTTCTTCATGCGAGTCTCCTGCTAAAACCCTCGTCAACGAATCTCCACCGTCATCCGACTCCTGCTCGCTCTTCATGCCAGTTGACCATCATTTGCCTAAGTGAGCGAGCTACTCCGCAGTTATTTTTCTCCCTTCGACATACAAAAACATGGACTTGTAAACCAATAAATATTTCTGTTGAGCTATTACACATAACCTCTCTAGGAAAATCCTGAATTTCTGCATGTCACAATTTGCTGAAATGTTCTTTGGCCATTTCTTCAGTGAGATGCATTAACCGAGCTGATAATTTAATCTTTTCCAAAGTGTTATGTGGTGACATCGCAAACCATGCCATGTTTAAGCTGCTGGCAACCTTTGCCCCTGCACTAAAACAAAGATCTATTTATTTATAGGGGCAGTTCCTGAAAAGCTGTCATACTGTAATATATTACTACTGTTGGATTCTCCTGTTCAGAAGCCTGTATTTTAGTATTTGTATCATTTGAGTCTCTTGAAGTTGTGACCTGGATAACAATTTTTGAAAATTGCTTGAATTCTGTTTTTAATAAAATTACCCACATGGCACATCAGATTCTTAATTTGGAGGGAAGCAGGGGGGGGCAAGGGAAATTTCAACACAATTTACATACCTCACTTTTAAAATACATCAAAACCGGATGCAGACACGTAGCTGGCAAAGTGGGCATGCAAGTTTAGTATTCAAATACGTTTGAAAAGGGTGTAGTTGGCAAATGTGTTTTGTTAGCCAGTCTTGCCTGTATATGAACAGAGCTGTATGCATGTTCAGGAGCACTGCAGGTACATATTTATGCTTTTAAAAGAACACTCTAATGGTAGCAATACAAAGTGTAGTCCTAATGGCTGACTGGTAGAGCCAGTCTTGTCCCTGCATCTTAACCTTGTAATATGTGTGTCTGTCTCTCTCTCACTCTCCAATGGGATAAGGTGGTCTGGGTGCCTCTAGTGCCTTTTTAAGCGATTGTATTAGAGAAACTGGGAATCTGATAAATAATACTGCATCAGTGACAGGAGGGAGAGGCAGATTTAATTGAAATGCCAAACTGCAGTGTATCCCCACAGAATAGATTCTTAATTTGCCAAATATGGAATCACTGATCATTTTGAACTACAGCTAATGACCCATCAGAGGACTAATCACACTATCCTGAGTGGTCTGATGGCAAAAAAAAAAATTTTGTTTCAAAATTGTGCCATGAATGTTATACCAAAAACTCTATTCAAATTCTCGGCACATTTGTAGTTTGTTGCTAGAGACAAATCAGAGGAGAATCTAAATATTTCCACCATTAAAAAGTTTGCAGCTGGACCTGATAAATGGTCTCTGGTATCAATGTTGGGATGTCCTCAGGAATACAGGTTAATGGGTAAGACATGTTAAAAACTTTAAAGGAATTCTATAGTGTTATGAATACAAATCTCTATTCCTAACAATATATATGAGTGGTCTGGGTGACTGTAGTGTCATTTAATATGGCCTATGCAGTGCCAGTGAAAGACTGCAAATTTTCACCTTTCTAGTGGTTTGCTTTGGTTTTTCCCAATGTTTAAGCGGCAGTCATTCAAATTCATGACTGCCACTTGGCCTATGGAAAATAAAACTTACACTAATATTTTACTTTTTCCATACCTCCTGGTTCCAGTAGGGTTAGGTATTGTGTAACAGAATCACACTAAAGAATTCACTAAAGTGAGAATTGTGAAAGGGGCTATTTGGGTCTAAAATTCAAACTGTAAACATAGCTGGCTTGGAGAATTTTTCAAATTCAGCTACTTTGTCCTTACATTTGAAATTCACTTTGAATTCCTGACAATTCACTTTAGTAAATAATCCTGTCAAATTTAAAGGGATCATCCAGGCCACTAAAGCTTGCAAATTTCAATATAAATGTACACTTTTATAAATGAACCTAATTATACCTGTGGCGGACTGCCTGGCACCCCAACTAGGTGCCTCTGCCAATCGATGCTTCCGAGTGCTCACTGAGTACTCCATGTACTCCACCAGACACCATCAGCACTGTAGTCCCCACTTCAAGCGTTACAGCTTGGCTGGGGTCTCACCATCCTTCACCCACCCTGGACCCAAGAACAGGGTCCAGCTTCCAATGGGTAGACTTCTCCTCCAAGAGAGTAAGCAATATGCTCCTAAAAGAGCAAGTGATTATAATCCCAGGGGAGTATAGTGATATAGCAATCCCCAGAGAAGATACAGCCGTTTCCCCCACACATGAGATGAGACTCTATGTTGAGGGTAAGCAGGAACTCTTTATTGGCAGCCACAACTGGCCTTATATGCAGGTCCCCAAGCAAGGGGCACCCCACTCCCCCCGAACCTAAGAGACTACAGTAAAAACATACACACGATTACATTGGCTCTCAGGTCCAGGACACTCCCACATAAAACAAGATAATCCCTCCTCTGTGCCTGGGAGATAATGGAGTCAAGAACTGTACTAAACTATTATCTCCAAGCACAGAAAACATACATTTTAACAACCCGCAAAAGTCCCCCAAACACATGGAAACCCACAAAAGTCATAGCCCCAATCTGAGGAACCAACATACCCAAAAATCATCCAAATCGGTTCAAGATTTCCATAGAAGTCATAATTTTGACCGACCATGCACATGGTCCTATGCCCAAAACAGTTCCAGGGAATCAGGGCTAACAGTCAGTCTCTCTTTCTGGAGCACAAAAGTAGATTACTCACATGAACAGAGCCTTTTCAAGTGCATTGGGCAAGGTATATTGCAGGGCCCATAGTCCTGAAGCAAGAGACTGGTAAGCAGGCTCCTCCAAAATCCCGTGGCGAGGTTCTGTTCACCACATATCTCCACCCCCCCCCACCCAAGGCAAGACTAACCAGGTAACCTGACTATCAGTACCCGAGTTAGTAGAGTAGCCCACCCATAAACAAGTCCTGGACCTGGTGACTTCTGTAGTCCAGCTCTGTCCTGTGTGTCCCCAGCTGTTAAGTAGGCATTTGTTACTCCCAGCCTCTCTGGCTTGGAGTTGAGGTTACCCAGTGGGCAAAGACTAGCGGTGCTGTGTCCCGCAGCCATCGTTACAGCTGGGTAGATCAGAGGGTCGTCAGGTCCTGGACTAAAGACAAGGGGAGGGTAGAGGCCAAGTGTGCTATGCCCTGGTGCCAGCACTTCTGCTGGGGGGACCGGTGCATAGTTCTGCTTTGTAACAAGGGGACAGGTAGGGCAGAGGCCTGCAGTGCTTAGCACTGATGCCAGCTCTTCTGCTGGAAAGGAGTCAATGGATACTGCAGTCCCAGTTGGAAATTCGCTGCTGTGGGGAGGGATCGTCCACCCCCTCCCTCTGGTATTTCTGCTGTGGCTGTTGGGGATCTGAGACCGGCTGTCCAGCAACCCTGTAGATCTGGTGCAGAGACCATGGTCCCATCTGCACCATTGGGGTCAGGGATGCTGTCCCCATGTAGTTGGGGAGAGAGACCAGTTGTCTGCTGGCAGGGTGAGGCCAGTTGCCTCCACTCCCCAGGACGCTTGCTGCTATAGGGTAGGGAGAGCGATCATCTCCTCTCCCAGTAACTCCGGCTGCCACTGGGGAGAGGTACCGGTTGTCGTCTCTCCCTGTAAGGTAAGCTGCCGCTGGGAAGTAGGACCGACTGTCCTCCCTCCTGGGTATCTGGGCCGGGTGCCCAGCATCCCTGGAGGGCCGGTAGAGAGACCTTGGTCCCATCTCCACCTGCTGCCTAGGGGTCTTCCCAGGACCAGTCTATGAAGTCCCCTACTTCTGCAACTGGTAGTGAAGCAGGGGGTCTTCCCAGCTGTAGGGTGGCAGGTCTGGGTCTGCCATCCAGCTCTCCCTGCAGGGTAAATTGGGGCCGAATTGAGCTGAGCAGGTGTTGGTAGTCCTGCTCCAGCTCCCACTCAATTGTCACCAGAGATGTCAGGTCTTGTCTCACCTGGTCAGTGGTAGCCCAATCATGCATGACTTCCCTGTAATCATAGATGTCCTAGAATCGGGACTCTCCAGGAACTCTGGTTCTGCGAAGGCCTCCCACACCAGGCCAGGGCCATTGTAATCCCCACCCTCCGGCCTGTTGTGCTCAGCCATCCAGGGGGCATGCCGAACCGTTTACCACCAAAGCGTCTGGTATGCATCGTCCAACCCCCCTCCTTCCATACCAGGCTCTTAAGCTCCGTCACCCACACCTCCGGAGGCTGCTCTCCCAGGAGAGGTATCCGCAGCACCACTCGCATCTGTAGCCGCTGCTCCTCACTGGAAAGACTCTCGCCCCGCCGACGCTGTATACCCTCCAGGGCCTCATACCAGACGTCATTCCGCCCTGCATCCCTCCAGTACAGATCATATAGGAATGCTGTCCGGGAACTAACTGGTTCCATACTGCTGTAGCCAGGGGCGCTGTACGGGTACTAGCGTTGCCCTCAATTATAATCCACATGATACCGTGTCTACAAGATGCTTCTCCGCACACTAGGAAGCCATCCCACCCCCTGGCATTGCCGAAATTCGTCCTAATTTAAATATGGACCGAAACTAATTGCACATGTTTAGTCCTATGCCCAAAACAGTTTCAGGGAATCAGGGCTAACGGTCGGTCTCTCTTTCTGGAGCACAAAAGTCCATAAATCATATGAAAAGAGCATTTTCAAGTGCATTTGGCAAGGTATATTGCAGGGCCCATAGTCCTGAGGCAGGGGTCTGGCAAGCAGGCTCCTCCAAAAGCCTGTGGTGAGGTTCTGTTCGCCACAATACCCCCTGGCTGTCAATCACACAACGGTCCCAGTTACTTTCTGGTTTGGTTGCCACAGTGGAGATGAACTCGAGGCAGCAATTGCCAGAGCACCATTCCTGCAAATACTTCTCATTCAGCAGCTGTGATTTTACAGCCATAAAAAAAAAATCTAAAGTGGGTAATAAGGGGAGGGCTTGAAAAGACTTCAAACAAGATTTGCTTCTTTTGTAAACTGGTTTTAGATATACCCCTAATGAAAAAAATGCATAAATAAAAGCATGCATATTTTTATTTGGATACATGTATGTTAATTGTTTCTTAATTTGGGCAGTGGGGCGTCCCTTTAAGCAAAAAATAGCCAAATTGGCAGCAAAACTGAATTGGGGAGAATTTTTAAGTTAAAATATTTTTACTTTAAATTTTACATTCACTTTGATTCCTCAAATTAGTAAACAATCCTGTCAGTGTATAATACACTAGTGTTTTATTAAATGCTTTGGCAATGAGTGTTTCAACCCTAATCATATGTCCTTCTTTGAAAACATCAGAGGACGGAAGACCTGTCTTTCATAGAATTGAAAAGTTGTTAGACCTCTCCTGTCCCATATCTCTTACAAACTGCTTACTGTACTGTGGATCACAGAGTTTCTAGATGACAACACAGATCATGCCTAATTCACACAAAACACTCCTCAGAAATTATGAACGCTAACATGTGTAGGCAAGGCAAAGAAGCAGAGAGAGATTTTGCTACGGTTAAGGGTAAATTCTGTTACTCAGAAGAATTAATGTTTCACTACAAGTTCACATCTGCCAAAACAATTTTATTTTTTACTGGCCCCCACAGGAAGCTGAGCACCGGAAAGAGCAAAAATAATTCAGAATAATTTTGAGAGCTCTATTTTCAATAGCTATAAAGTTGGGGTAGTAGCTTTTATCTTTAGATATGAGAACACCATTTTGTTAAAAAGTTAATACAAAACTCTGCTTTGATGGAAACTTTGCTAGTGGAATGAATACACTGTCTAATCATGATTGAAAAGCTGTTTAATTTCCACACATAGGCTATTCATCATTTGTAGGTGTCACAACTAATACGACTATAATACGGTAAAAGGAATGTCGGGCTAGCAATCGGCTGTCATTAAATAATAAGTGATTGAGTTTAACCATGTCAAAATGCAATTAAAAACAAAATCAATATAAAAGTAGTGTACAAGATGAGCAACTGAAGAGATGGAAGGTACTGTGTTGATAACCCAATCAGAAAATCTCAGGATAGACCTACATACTGTATAAGCTATGAGCTGTCCTATTGAATATTGATATTCTGTTTAGAACACTTTGGCATGCATATCTGCTCAACAGTAAATACACTGGATATTCTTATTAAAGTGACTGCCTGATTATCAGTAAGCTTTTAGAAGGAGTGTTTCTATTGACAGATTACTCCACCTTTTGTGAAAAATTAGAGGATCCCATGCCATCAGCTCTACAGTTAAATCTTATGTTCAAAACATGTGAAATGCGTCTCCAGGAGGGTTTGTTACACTTTGGTTTGAATGTGAAAAGACTTAAATGCGGAAAAAATTAACCAATTACTGTATGAGCGCCAAGTTAAAAACAAAACAAAAACAAAACTCAGCTTTGTGCTGTGAAAAATTCATGACAATATGCATTACATATACATATATAATAATAATAAAAAACAAGGGGGCAAAGTTCCAATATAATGATCTACTGTTAACATGAAAAACAGAGTTTTCTAGGAAGAAGGAAAAAAAACAAAAAAAACAAAGAGGAATCTGTGTTCCAGTATCTACACCAACGTTTTCCCCCTTAAATTAGCTCTGGTACATTTTATGGCCTCCACAGCTTTTCTTAGAAGGATGGAATGTGTGAACAGGAGTAACATATGCAATTATTGTAGCCAAGTTGTAGTGGATTGAAAACTGAATTGTAACATTTAAGCTACAAAAACAAGCCAAGCTGTGACTATTAGTGGAAAAAGCTGTTCAGTTTTAAAAGTTTAAACAATCTTAACCAAGACAAGTGAAATCATCACAGATTCCTCCAGCACCTATACTAATGAACTGAAAGCACTATAAGTTGTCTTGTTCCAATATAGTTCTTTATTTAGTTAAATTGTATCATTACCACCATTTAATGCCTTGAGGTTTGGCACAGTGGGCACTGTGTGTGTGTGTGTGGAGCAGTTATGTTTAACCTAAAGTGGATTTCCATTGGTAAGCCCACCAGCTACACAATTGCTACATACATTATAGGCTCCTGCCCTCCAAATACTAACCTGCACATGTGTGGGGAGACCAACGTGCAGAACCTTCTGGGCATAGGGTTTTCTGTAATCCTGGTTTGCACAATCTACACTGCAATTGGGTGATGAGCAGTTGTGAAGCCATGACTGACCAACAACTACCCTCCTGATTAAAAACAGGTAGCAGGGACATTTCTTAAACAAATAAAAATACAATCTTATGTTTTTCACACACATTGAGCATTATTTATTTATTGCTATATAATTTAGCAATAAGTTGATCAGCTATTCTGGAAAATATTTGGGTTGTTTGCATTAATACGAGTGGTTTCCAAATTCTTGTTATTTTGGAGAGAAAATGTTTCATATCTGAACTGAGATTTGCCCCAATTAAATGTTAATTACAACAATCTAAATTGACATTTTACGAACTAAAACTAAAAGAATATTTTACTAAAAGTATTGACACAAAAAGCAAAGAGCCCACTAATTTTACGATAAAAGTATTTTATAGATGTACATATAAAATGCCATTTCTTCAGATTCTTTTCACAGCTGTCATTAAACAAAGATTTTTTGTTGTCTCAGACAAGAGTCACTGTTAATATGTTTCATCCTTTCAATTACAGTAATACACAAACATTTTTTGCAGTTTTGTCTTAAACCACTAAGTCTTTCTGACGTTTGCACGTTGACCCAACACAAACAGTAGACAGTCCACATGATGAATTGAACAGACACATTCAGAGTCCCAGAAGAGTACAATCTTCATTTCCTCAGATACATTGTTATTAAACCTGTAAAACAAGGAGCAGAAAGACACATTTTAACATTATGTCTAAGGTCAACATATGTTTACGGCAGGGGTAGGCAACCACTGTCATTCCACGTGTGTACTACATCTCCCATAATGCTCTTGCACCCATAATGCTGGCAATGCATCAGTGAATATGTAGTCCACACCATACAGAGTGCCCACGGTTACCTATTTCCTGGTATAGGAACATTTCCTCCATTTGTAGTCTGCTTAAGAGCAAGTAAAGTTATAACTTCAATGTAGCCAAAACACAAGCCATCTCACTTATAATAAGGTATGAACATGGCTGTCATGACTGCAGTTGACCAATTCAGATTTACTGTATTAAAATATATACAAAAACAACATACATAAAGACAAGATGCTAACATGTGATGCTGAAATTTGCATTTTTTTTGGCAACTTCCCTGATCAATAGGTGGCTCAGCCTCCTTAAACTAACACTCCTACTATAGTGGTTATGGTGCCAGAAATACCCTAAAGCCTCCTTAAGTAAGTTGCCACAATGTTTTTGACAACTTACCCGAGTCCTCTTGGTATTTGGACTGCATCCTGCTTCTCCCGCAGGAGTCAACTAGGTCCTGAAGTAAAAGCTACTAAATGGCATGTGTTGGTAGTCATGTCAGAAGGTGTGTGCGAAGTAGCATAAGAATGATTGCTTCATGTTAACGCTGATTGAAATCAACGCTCATTAGTGTATCAGACTACCAGGAGAAGTCCCAAGATTCCTAACTAGAATTTTAGCATTAGTTTAAATTTCAACTTAGGATCCCTCTGTTTTACTTTTTTTTTTTTCTTTTTAGCCAGTGTACAATTTACATTTCCACTTTAATAGTGTTGCAATGATTTTCAAGATTGTTTTCCTACTGTTGGGCCAGCTGACAGATGTCAAGTTAATTATACATAAGGGGACATACTTAATAAGTGGGTTACGAATGTTAATGTCACTGTAAAGATGCATTAACGCAATAAAGTAAAGAAAAACACATAAAAGACGTTGGTAACAGCAAGGAGAAGGAGTAATTCTATTCACAGGAATGGAGAGGATTGTAATATTACATTATTTATATTTCTCAGTCTTTTATTTCACTGAAATGTTTCCTTGGAAAGAAAAGGTCAAAGAGATTTGTGCTGGCAAGCGTATGATCTTCCGTTAAATTCTACATATCTATTAAATTCTGTGATGCCTGAAGGGTATGGCATGCATTATTCATTGTGTTGGCACTCTCAGAACTAATGTGACTCATTCTCAAATTGCAGGATGCTCAATTATCCTTAAAAAAAAAAAATCATCAAACACGTTGTCTTTTTTCTTATGATTATTTTCTTTTCTGGTGTGAAAGTACATGTGCCAAACAAACAATACGTAGAAGGCATCAAAGCCAAGAACTTCACATTTCGTATAAGGAACAAAGCACGTAAAAGCACAGCTAATTGAGTAAACATAAGGAAACAGAGCTGCTAATTATTTAAGCATATCTGAGTATTTGTGAGCCAACAGGCCGCACAGCTAGCATAAATATAGTAGTGATTGTCCACTCTTCCATATATATGTAAAGCAGATTAGAATTGCTCATCACTGAGGTCCAGGGAATAAGTCCAGAAAGGACTGACTTTAAGACTCTTTGATTGGAAAGATAAACTCAGCAAGCCACCTCCATGCCTCAAACCAAGTGTGTCACTCTGGTACCAAGCAGTGAGCACCATTCTAGTGTAAGAAAGATTCAGAGTACCAGGAGGGCTGAGTTATCAGAGGAAATTCTATTGTTTCTCAAAGCAATTTTAATCTTCAGCGTCTCATGTCTCAGTGGAGAGCAGACCTCAGAACTCCGCGAGTCCTCTGCCTGTTCACAAGATGGCATCCAATGTGGTTCAGTCACCTCATTACCCAATATAAGTAATAGGTGTCATTTCCTCTTTTTAGTTAATGAGGCCGGTGGAGAACCTTTCAGTGTTGCTCAAAAGTTCTTGAAAAGCTCATCTAATTAAGCCAGTATAGTGAGAGGGTTATTAGACTGCCAGTGTAGCCAACACTTTTGCCTGTAAGTATCTATTCCAGACAGCAAGGTTGGTATGGCAGAGCTAGGAGTGCTCCTGGGAGCTACCCAAGAAAACAGTAGAACATTTCTACAAATTAGTGTGTAATCTAATCAAAGATCACAATTTCCACTCTCCATTGGTGAGTGAAAACTTGGCTCAAGCCAGTGGAAATCTAACACATTTGCAGCTGCATTTAAGAATCCAAAGGCTTTTTTTTTTTTGTAAAAAATGTTTTTACATTCTTTATTTTTGTTGTGCACAATATGAACAAATAACCTTGGTGCGCCACAACAGCGACATCAGGGTGGTTTGGTGAACATTTGCAATACAAGTTGTGGCATTCGCTAGACAGGCACATTTTTATGTTAGAGAGATCAGTATTTCAATAGTTTAGGTTCTCGTTTAAGTGGGTTAGAGAGGTGCACATGTCAGGAAAGGGTAAACAGAGGAGTGACAGAGACGAAGCATGACATGTGCAATCATTGTATGAACACGGCTTTACAATGTAGTATATGCCAGGCTGATTCTATCCTCTCTCTTGTCTGGCTAGGCAGGGAATAAGTGGTTGCACATTGCGCTAGACTTAAACCAGAAATAAGCCTAAAGGAAGCAAATAACAAGCATGTGTGACAATACTACTGATGTTTATAGATTTGTTCTATAGAGATGTTCTAAACAAAGGAAATAAAAATAAAAGTGAATGCAATCAAAGTTATAACATGCTAGCAAGTTAAAGCTAGCTGATACCCTGGCTACACTTGGTTTGGTATGATTCTATACAGGACATTTAGCCTATGCCACTTAGACTCCAAGTCTGATGAGATAGCTTGGTACTGGGTTCTGCCTCCCCTTCTTGCTCTCATTGTATGCGGCGTCAAACTAGGAAAGATGGTGACCTCTATGGGTCGACGTTCTTGTGTGCCAGGCATCTTAAGGGGACTACCTCTGAGTCATGCTGCTCCTGCCGAGGGAGTCTGGATCTCCATGGTCGAGTTGGGTAGTAGCGAAGTAGTAGGAAGTAGGAAGATAGCTTTGTTCACCGGGACCGCATAGTAAACGAAGGAGCTCTGAGAGCGGCAGTCTCTCCAGAGCTCAGGCTTGTGTAGGCCGCTGGCCACTATCAGGACATACAAGGGCCGGATAGGCTCACAACTAGTATCCTCCAGTGCACCGAAGACCCCTCGGCAATATGAGTGCTTATTGCGGTCTGATTGATGGGTGGCCCGGGTGTAAATCTCGATTGATTGGGGCCAGATGCAGGAGCTCTTGCAGAGCACGTCTGGCTTCCTTGGCAGTCAAGCTCCACCCCCCTGCATGTGTTGCATTTTAACAGTGCTTCTCAATATATACATTTTTAATGTTAGATTATTTAATGTGCTAAGATAACTGGACCTCCTGTTAAAAAAAACAAATAAACAAAACGCTATAAAACTTACCTGTAATCCAGGGCTAGTATATACTCAGGACAGTTGCTCTCAGTTGCCTGATCTGCGTCGAATGAAGTCATGAGCTATGAAGAGTTTCGTTCAATCGGGGGCGGGGCCTGCCCGCCATGCTGACCGGTCGCATGAGGGAGAGGCTCCTGCGGAAATATGGCCTTCTCGACCGATATATACAGCCTATATCAGAGCCGGAGGGAAACAGCAAGGTGCCGGAGCTGAAGCTGGCGCACGGGTCCTACAAGGGCCCCACGGGTCCTACAAGGCTTTGGAGCTTGCGGCCTCCACGTGAGAGAGGCGGGATGGACGGCCGCCACCCTGCCTACTTGCCTAGCAGGCCGCCACACGACAGCTCTGGGGCACACCTCACAGGCCCCTTCCCCCCCCACTCTGGACCGGGGAGATATCCCGGTCCTCACTGGGGGGAATGAAGCGATCACCGCCAAAACCTGCAGAGCGCACTCTGAGGCCCAGGACCTAAAATAGCCGCCACACTGCCTCTCGGCAAGGGGGACTGGAGCTCCAGGGAACAGGCAACCAGCAACAGGGTACACCTGCCCAACCCTCAACCAAGACAACATGGCATCCCAACAGGGTAGGGCTACACAGTCCCCAGCTACCCACCTGCCGCAACACGTCCAGAACAGGAGAGACAAGTGCGGGCACCAGCCGTGAGGCAAGACAGGAGAGCACGACATGACCAGCACCGGGCACAGATGATCGGCTCACCAACACACTACACCCTGTGTTGTCACATGAGCCCAGCAGACACACTCTAACCCAGGAAAGCAGGCATACCTCTCAGCCCACTGTCTCCAGCAGCCCGACGGAGCAGGACAAGGGGAACGGAGCGACCTACGTTCAGGGACCCAGTGGACACAAACAGTTTGCAGATTTGTGACTCTCACGTTTATTATGCATTTTTACTGCTCTAACACACATAGTTTGCCATATGCTTTGCTTTACTTGTTTTTCTGCTACATTCTAATTCTCTTGCAAATACTATGTGAAGATGATGTAGGCAAATGTAATAAGCAACTGTTATAAGCAAATGTTAAGAATTCAGATATGCAAATATAGGATCTCCATCTACTTAAGTGACTACAGCGATGACTCAGCTAGCATGTACCCAGTCCTGTGGATCTAACTACCTACTATAGCCAATCTAGCAACGTCAAGCATAAATTGTTATACACTTGTTTCATTTAATTTAACTCTGTTAGTTAAGCTAGACACACTTTCGGCCAATCCAATGCTTCTCACAGAAAAGCAATAAGGACAGAGAATGCATGTGCAGAAATGCTTCTCATAGAAACGTATTGAATTCACTGATTCTATACGAGAAGCATAGGATGTGTTTGATGTCATCATGTTGTGCACAATGACGCTGAATGTGAAGAGGGAAGATAGTTCATAATGGTTTTTCATTCTGTCGGTATTTACACCCTGATTAAAACAGTTATGTAATGAATCACATCTTAGAATTGCATGCTGTAAATCCACCTGTATGTATGGTGACGAAAGCAATCGTTAATTTCAATACAGCTTAGTTTTACTGTTTCAATCTAGAGGGCTCCCTCTATGGCTTTTCAAAGATGGGTGTTTTATCTTTCTTCAGAAATAATAGATGGATTTTTAATTTCTCATATATTCCTCATTGTGGCCCTGCTTTTCAAGTGATACTATAGTGCCAGGAATAGAAAGCTGTATTCCTGGCACTAACGCTCCCCCTGCCCCTCCCAATTCTATATGTATGCTGCATTAGTAAGGAAGAGTCACTAGTGGCTGTGAAACTGCAGTGTGTTCCCTGACAAATGGTAACATAGCTGTTTCTCAAAAATGGCAATGTTTTAAATTGTCAGATGAAGGGGCAACATCCATTCATCAAAACTACTTTATTAAGATGAAGTGGTTTTGGTGCTCAGAGTTTCCTTTAGAAAAACAGGGATTTGTTATATGGATTATTTACTAAAGGGTGAGAGGACAACTAAGGTTTTCTTGTACAAAATATCTCAACTTTGTTTCAAAATCACTGCAATTTACTGTTAGTAAATGCACTGCAGCTCAATGTATTATGTAGAAGTAGAATGAGCTTAGGCTAACACCTGCAGAAAGTTATGTGATCATAACTTATCTATTATTTGATTGTTATGCATCTCTTATGTGATTTTAATACAGCTGTTGTGATTTTAAAAGAATCTGCTGTTTTTGCCTAAATTTTGCAGTTTGTTCTTCAATTTACTACAAATAGCTATTTGGTGAATACATTCCTAGTTATATCACAGTACATATTATAATATGTAGAGGTAGTTGTCACATTCTAAATCTATTCCACAGGTTCTTGTTGGAAGTATGTTAAAAAATAAAAATAACAATATTACAAAAAATGTTTTTGGATGAAATTGAACAGATTTTGTTTTCAGCCAAATACATTTGTAGTCTGGAACAAAGTAAAATTTACCTAATACATAGGCAGCCACTAATTTCATTCTCACACTTAGATGGAGGTAGAGGGGAACCATTGATTCTATATCACCCAATGTGGGCAGCATCAGTGCAGCTGTGCAAATTATGATCAGGAAGACTACCAGCAAACTAGGTCCTGAGGGTGGTGATCCGACATCTGGAACAAAAAAGTCATAATATAGTGGTTAAGCCAGAAGCCAAAGTACACAAAGAGCACATCATGGTAAATGCATTCTTTCTTCCCCAATATGTACGCTTCATATACATTAAATAAAAGATGTTGCTTTAATTACATGTGTTTATCTATGCATTCCATATTTTAAATAAAGGTTACACATTCATTTAATAAAAATAAAATAAAAAAATATATAAAATTCTTCAGAATTAAATTACTTTTAATCTAACCGATCTGTCTGGGATTTACACCCCTGGATTTCTATTCAATGAATAAGACTCCACATGTAAATACTGGACAAGTCTATTGTTTCAGGTGTGGATTAAAAGGATTTTAATTCAGGTGAACCAAACTTTTGCACATGTCTACTTCATAGTGGAGCTACAATACGCAGGCAACTGCTAGAGGAGAATTCAGCAATGTAACCCTGTATCACGTCAGTTCAGCTAGTATTCTAAGTACTCAATGAAGAAAACGTAAGTAATCCCTTCACTACCAAGCGGTTTGCAAAAAAAACTAAAAACTCCCCAAATCTAAGTATTTTGAGAGTCCTGGAAAATAATATTTAAACCAGTGTTGTAAATAAATAACACTTCTCAATATGTAACCCAATACATAATTGTCTCACATATACACACACAATGAAGCACACACATGCCCACTTTGATACACACACAAACATACTGATGCACAGACCTACAATGACACACACACACATTGACATATACAGACACACAATCACAGTATGCACCTGGCATTGTGTAACTGTGTATGTCTGGCAGGGAGTGCGTCTGTGAGTGTATATCTGTGTGCATGGGTATCCGTGGCTGTGTCTGGAATATATATCTGTGTCTGTGTATCTCTGTGTCTTGGAGCGTATGTGTGTGAGGGAGCAGCTTGCAGTGTGCTGTATGTATGTAGGGGCTGTTTGTGGTCTTGATGTGTGCATTGTGCTTATTGTGAGACTGTGATGTGTGCATAAGTAACAGTGTTACTGTGTGAATATGACTATGACAGGGTGACTGTGGCCGTGTGACTGTGAGTGAGGGTGAAGGGGTGTGTGTGGCGGGGGGTGATGTGACAGGGTGAGTTGTAGGGAGGCGGCAGATTGTGTGTGTGTGTGTGTGTATGCTGTTTTTCTCTGTTCAGCCTCCCCACACATTGCAGATTGCTTTTTCAATTTTTTTTTCCGCTCTGCCACCCACTTTTTTTTTTGTAGTGAGGGTGGCTCTGATCTTAATTCCCTGGTGTTCCAGCTGTTTCCCTTGTGGTCCGGTAGGCTGCCAGGCAAATAAGCATCTCTGGCCCCAGTTTCTGACCAGAGGGAGCATCAGCAGAGAGCTGCATCCAGTCCGGGGAGCAGTCTACGCGAACAGCGAGCGCAGCACCATGTAGTGAGATCTATAGATTTCCCACCAGTCTGTGCAGCTGCGGGGGGCAAGAGGGCAGCTCAATTTTCATTTGCGATGAATAAATTTCATGTGCAATAGTGTGTATAAATGATTGAGGGGTAAGACTGCATACACTGGCAATCGTGTATACATGACTGGTGGCAGGGTTAAGACGAAGTATGTTGAGTGGATGTGCTGTAGGTTCAGTGGACATAATGTAGATACCTGGCTCAGCTTACCGAGTCAGCATCTAGCCCCTAAAGAGTACTTTTTAAGTAGGGTAATAAATCTTCGAGCAGTAGTATAATTTTGGCATGAGAGGAAAAATAATATTTAACTTCTTGAAAACTATATTTATCTTTTTATTAAGCTGCTGAACGAATTCTTTCCACCCATACTCAAAACTGTGGTTAATACTTTTAAAGATCTTAAAATATCAAAATGTAGTGAAATGGAAATGTTAACATGCTAAATACACAGACCTAAAAGCACATTTTTTTTTTTATTTCTGTAAAATAACAGAAAAAAAGGAACATTACAAAACCAACGTATAGAAGGAAAACTATACAATTTGTGGATATCTGATAGAAAATATTTCAATATACTTGTCATTTGTTGGGGGCTCTGTATTTAGAGTAATATAAATAAAACAATACACATGATGGTCAAATATAAGAGAAATTGATGTTTTATTCTCAGAATTTAAAAGATCAGTCTAAAAACTACTTTCGCTTAATGAAGTGGTCATGGTGCATAGATCATGCACTTCCGTTCTTACTGCTAACTTCCATTTAGTAGTTAAATAAAAAAATTCCTATAGCCCTAGCCACACCTCCACTGGCTGTCAATCACAAAGCCTCTCTTCACACTTCCTGAAAAAGACATGATCTTACAGCCATCATCAGCAAAGAGTTTACTTAAGACTTCCAGTCGGTGAGGGTACATCCTCATCTCCCGCTAATGTTATATTATGTTCTATGTGACCACAATACCCCTCTGTAGAATAATTTGATTAGAAATTGCCCAGTACAAACAAGGAAGTTTGTGCTTGGCAAAATGAAGGTGGGTCAGCTCCTCTGAGAAAATTATTATTATTATTTTTTATTTTTTTTTAAACCATTAGCAATAAATGCATTAACTTAACACCAATAACCTGGCAGATGTGGCAAAGATGACGGATTAGAACCATTGTGCCACTCAAAATACTAAAAGGTGATAATGGGCAGTGTTAATGGATGGCAGGACAGGGTTTATCAGACTATAAAGATTTGGGAACTCATGTATACACACCTGGCTTATAAGGTTTATGTTCATGAAAGACATGTTCTGCCATATGTTCATTCTTAAATCTCTTCTCCTCCTCTTCTTTGTGCTGTTGACCCTTTGCGGACGGAAGAAGTGTGGCATTTACCTCTTTACGCCCCAACGTCTTCTTCTGACTTTGTTCGAACACATAAAGGCGAAATTTGTCGACCACCCCAAAGTGACTGGCTCGGACATCTTTGTGTCGAATAACACTTTGAAGCAAAAAAAAAATCCTGTTTAACCTTCAAATTCTAGACTGTAAATAAGTATCTGTTACACAAGGTTTTTTTTTTTTGTTTCTTTTTTTTTTATCCTAGTGAACGAGGGTCAGTGAGGCCACATTCCTTAAAGAGACACTTTTCTCCTGCAACGGTCATTAAAAAAAATACACTAAGTGTTCAGTGAATACTATTCTACTAATCTACTTCTCTACTTCTACCCTTACATTTTGTGTCACTTTACCCCACTCCCTCTAGAATGTAAGTTTATTGAGCAGGGAACTGAACACATCTGTTCCTGTGCTTCCAACATTTCTGGTTACAATTACACGTTTGTTAGTCTATCCATTGTACAGTATGCGGAATTTGTTGGTGCTATATAAATAATAATTATAGGTACCCAGACCACTTTAGCTCATTGAAGTGGTCTGTGTGCATATTACCAGATACCTTAAACCTGGAAAGGTAATTATTGCAGTTTTTAATTAATTGCAGTAATTACCTTTATAGGTTAATTCCACCTTTAGTGGCCGTCTACCAGACAACGACTAGAGGGACTTCCGGGTGGTTACGTGACTTTTTGGTTGCCTAACGGACGCTGGACGTCTTCATGCTATGCATTAATACATCCACCTTCACCCGAAAGCCCATGGGAAAGCATTGTATAATTGCCGCACATGTGGAATTAGGTCTCCGTCAGCAGCTGCCGTCGGTGGGGGAGGGGTGAAGGCAAACCCCGGGCCAGTGCCAAGCGACATCAGTGCTGGAACAAGGTAAGTGACAGAAAGGGTTTTTAATGGCACTATAGTTTCCCTTTAACTTCAAAGATTAATATATGACCGTTACCAAACCTAACTTTAGAAATTGGCATCTTTTGTTTGTAAACAGTGGCATGGAGATAAGTAAATCACAGATGATGTAGATGTTGTGTTAGTCACAAGGACAGTGCTAGCTGACATAGTGCCTGTCTTCTACAATAGAAAATAAGGAGACAAGTTATAGATACACTTTCTCAATACCCCCACCCCACCCCCCGCACCCCCCCAAAAAAAAATCACTAAATATATTTTTGCAAGATAAAGCAGACCACATTTTTTTCATATAATATTGTTGTGACACATAAAGAGTATCTTCTAGACATGATTGAGAATCACAGACTCTCCTTTTAAACAGTTACTGCCATACAAATATGGATGACATTAATATTGAGGAAATTAAACTTCTGCATTAGTAGCCCAGCAAGTGAAAAGTTGAATGCACCACCTTGCCAGGCTGCAAGTGAAACCACCCAAAATGGTTTGACCCACAGCAGGGGTATGGCACCTTCAGCCTACAAACCATGACAACTGCATGTAGGAGTTATGGTGCTAAGACTGCCCCTTCATTTTTTCACAGTAGTGTTATTCAAAATGGCACCATGAGGGCAGATACCAAGCCAGGTAAATACATACTCAAACTCTGATTTCTGGTAAACACCATGGTATATGGGGAAAATGGGTGCCAATTCTGCCTCTGCAAGAGCTGTGAGACAGAAAACAATGATATATGTTCAACTAGTCCCTGTTTAATAAAATAAAACCTCTCTTTCTGGAAAACAGCACATAACTCCAGCCTTAGTTTTGTGTATCTAATGTATATTAAAGTTGACTGGAATATACTTACATATCAACACAGCACTGAGGTTTCACAGCACCTGCAGTTTCTGCAGCAATGTACTTACTGGGTGATGTACATAATACTGAAAAAAATAAAAATAAAAAGAGATTTTAGGATAAGTATTTAAATCAAGAGTTCTTATATTTAAACTTTGCAAAGCATGCAAAAGTGAAGATTTCTTCTACTACACGATTTAGGCCAGAGGGACAACTGAGCTACAAATGCCATAATTCTTTGTCAGGCGAAAGGTTTGCAGCAATTGGCAATCAGAGAAGACTGGGAATCATAGTCAAATAAATAAGGAAGTTTGTTTTTAATACTTCTGATTTCAGATATGGTCCATCCAGGAAATGTTACTACACTAGATTTTACTAAGCATTTTTCTTTTCTTGTCAGTTTTGGTATTTGCCACTTCCGTGTATGCTGAAAGGCTGTTCTATAACCCTCCCAATTCTGTGTTATTTAGTACTCTCCCCCCACCTCTATTGCCGGTTCTTACCAACTCTCTGATCATATGAATTTAAACCTTTTTGGCAAATACTGACTCTATCCAAGACTACACAATTTACTATTTATACTGAAATCTGTCTTTTTACAAAGAAAGATAATCTTTTAATATTTAATATTTATTTAAAAACCAAAAAACACTAGTTAAACTGCCAGTAAAGGACACAATTAAAATTCCTTACTGGAAAGTACACCTGATGAAAAAAATAAATCTATAAGTGTTATTCAACAAACTGGGACCTGAACGGGAAATTGCTAATTTTTTGTGCAAAATAAGAGTTCAGTTTCATACTGACAAGTGACAAATTTAATATCCAGGAGCTTATCATTTAAAAACAATTGTGATGGTCTTTTACAATGACGAATGATGTAATGACAGCAGTTTGTGTCAGCGTGATTCAACACTGCATTGCCATCAGCAGCTGCCTGCGTTGACATGGCATCCGTTTCGTTTCCTAAAACAACGCAGTATCACTTTCAGTGAACAAGAAATCACTGGAAACTGTACATGATGAAAGTACGAAACCACATTTTTGACGTAGAGCATATCTCAGAAGTGGGAGTGTTTGTCCTAGTAGGTAGGTTTGTTATAAAAACAGCACCTATTAAATATATAAATGATCATTAAAATTATATGTGTTTGTCACTTTAAAATATTTAAGCACTGTATATTAACAAGTATTCATGAAAAAAACTGTTCCTGTATGTCAGAATTTGAACATAAATGTTAAGAGATATTGTTCCAATCAGCATGGTTTTGTACAACATTACAAAAATTATATGAAATGTAATTCAATGTAAGAAGATCAGGTATCTTCCAGTGTGATGAGGAATTAGATTGATATTTTTTTTTGTACCATGTTATTATTATGTTAAATAAGTGTAACAAACTGATGTACGTAAGGTTGACCGGGCTTGATGTGACTATGTTCCTTAAAAGGTTACCCCAACCTCCACGACCACTTTTACTTTTAGTAAGGAATCCGAATGTGCAGCACATACAGAGGTTAATTACATGCCTGGCACACGTGACTTCTCACATCTCACAAACATACATCTGTTAAAAATAAAGGATAGATCAACATAACATTAAATAATCCTGGCACGTGTCAATTCGCCTTAAATTTTCTTCCCTATCTTTATAAAAACAACAACTGCTCCATCTTTAATATAGAAGTACCACATGCAGAAGTGTCTATGTGTGGCACCAGAAGATTTGGGTTATTTGAGAATGTTACAGTACCCTCCACCTGTATCATAAACTTACTGATCATCTACGGCTCGGTTTAAGGAACTCGATGGTTTTATAATACTATGATATGATAGAAACATTTAAATACATAAAGGGAATCAACACGGTAAAGGAGAAGACTATATTTAAAAGAATAAAAACTACCACAACAAGAAGTCTTAAATTAGAGGGGCAAAATGTTTAAAAATAATTTCAGGAAGTGTTACTTTCCTGAGAGGGTAGTGGATGCATGGAATATCCTTCCAGCTGAAATGGTAGAAGTAAACATAGTGAGGGAGTTTAAGCATGCGTGGGATAAGCATAAGGCTATCCTAACTATAAGATAAAGCCAGGGACTAATGAGAGTATTTAGAAAATTGGGCAGACTAGATGGGCCCACTGGTTCTTATCTGCCGTCACATTCTATGTTTCTATTATCCAGAATAATATTGATTGTTTTTATCCTTTCTTTATAAGGTGTAAGAGCAACCCTTTTCAAGCAATCCATTGCTTGTTCTTTCTTAAATAAGATATAACACCACAGTGAAACATTCGGATATGAGAGGAACCATACCTTTAAACGTTAAGGCAAACTCGTAAGGGTTATATAGCGTTAACACCTGCTTGTGTGTGGACTGATCATCGGCATAAAATATCAGTTCTGTTGGAAAGACAAACACAGGAAGGTTTCCTTCCAATAATTCTGGCTTCCGTGTTTGCTGCTGCATTGGCACAGAATCTGTATTCCAACCTCGGCGGCTCCTTTTGTCTTGAGGATCTTCCAGCTTCCTCTGCGTGGTGCTGTAAAATCTTCTAGTGCATTTTGGCAGTTCTACAGAAGAATGAAAATATAATACTGCAATCTCAAGCCTGACTGAAATAGTTGCATAGCAGCAGTAATGTAGAAGATGGCATAAATATCTGATTGACAGGTACACTAGAGCTGCGGCAATTAAAACAAACTGCCTGATGGCAACATACATTGGGAGGTTTTTGTTTGCTTTTGTAATTGAAACCATTCATCAATAAAATTAATCCAAAATAGTAAAGACAAGCATCTACAAATAGGGTGCTACCTGAAGTGTTTCATTTACTCAGGTTTTTATTAATTACGCACTGAAGAGGTTAATAGAGCAATAGTTATTAAAAACATTCTGTCATTTTAATGGAGTATCACTTGTACATAACCTGAATGATGTTTTGCAATTTCTTAAAGAACCACTAAAGTACTCAGACCACTTCATCTCAATGGTCTGGGTGCAGTGGTCCTGTCATTTTAACCCTGCAAAGTAAAACAATTCTGTTTTGTAGAAATTGCATTGATTGATTTACATTGCACAATTAAACACACCTCTAGTCGCAGTCTTTTTGCCACTAGAAACGATTTTCCCTCCAGTACAGAATGTAACTCGATCCTGCAAAAAAAACAAAACACTGCTTATAGCAGTATTTGATTGGAAGAATGTAACATTTGGCCACACATGTCTAGTGCCAAGCTACTCCATGAGAAGCAATGGATTGGAGGAGATTGTGGGTGATGTCAACTTGAAACCTGACATCACCTGAGGTGGACCTGGAGGCTGCACTATAGGAGTCCTAGCACTGGAAAGGAGGTTAGTAATCATTTTTTATTTAGACTTTTAATGCCAAAAGTGGGTGGACAGGAGGGAACTTCAGAAATAACAACTGCTATTTTCGGTATAAGCTCTCTTTAAAGGATCACTATAGGTTCAGGAACACAAACATGTATTCCTGACCCTATAGTGTTAAAATCACCTGGGCCCCTCATGCCTCCATAAATATAGCAACACCTTACTGTATTCAAGTCTGAAGCTGTAGATCTGCATGATGTTTGCCAAAAAAAAAAAAGCTGTCTACTGACATCAGCAGAAGTGGTAGCCTGATCCAATCACAATGCTTCCCCATAGGATTGGCTGAGACTGACAAAGAGGTAGATCAGGGGCAGAGCCAGCATGATTCAAACACAGCCCTGGCCAATCAGCATCTCCTCATAGAGATGAATTGAATCAATGAATCTCTATGAGGAAAGCTCAGTGTCTGCATGCAGAGGGAGGAGATACTGAATGTTTGGATGCATTTTAGGCAGCCATGACCCAGGAAGGATCTCTAACAGCCATCTGAGGAGTGGCCAATGAAGTTATCACTAAGCTGTAATGTAAACACTGCATTTTCTCTGAAAAGATAGTGTTTACAGCAAAAAGCCTGAAGGTAATGATTCTACTCACCAGAACAAATTCAATAAGCTGTAGTTGTTCTGGTGACTATATAGTGTTCCTTTAACTGCTGGACTGAATAAATAAATAAAATAAAATATAAATTTATGTGGGGGGTAAAGCAGCAGCAAAGTGCTAAACAAATAAATATTACCCGATAAAATAGGTTAGCCAGACCAGAGAACACTATAGCACTTGGTTATATGGGGAAATTGAATTAATTTACATTGAACGCCATTATGCATGCATTACGTCTGCATGAAGGTAATTCACTCTCATATGAACCTCTCTAAGAGCTAATAAAAGAGAAAGACGTTATATCCTAAAGGTTTTGTCATAACTGTTATGTTCATATTGCCTTTTGAGCAGGTATAGCATAAGGTAGATTCCTTGAATGTTTCAGAACTACATCTTCCATAATGCTTTGCTAGCCTAAAGGCTGGTAACGTACTATGGGAGTTGTAAAGCTACTTTCTGAGTTTCCCCTAACAAGCTGCAGCTCAAACCTCACACTGTCATTGGGGTAACTTTATCACTTCCTACAATAATTGAAACTAAAAAAAGGTTAACACCACACGCAAGTTTTATAATATACACATTTCGTAACGGGCTACTTTAATCACCATTATAATGTGTATTGTACAATTTGTTCCACATTGATGCTTTTTGAATTAGACATGGCTTAAAGGAACACTGTAGCGTTAGTAGTATATATCTCTATTCTTAACTTAATGTACTTAGTAAGTGTCTGCCCCCACGGAGTACTTTAAAAATGTAAGAAAATTAAATTAAACAAAAAAAACAAACCATAAATCCTGAAGCCGTATGCAATGATTTTCTATGACTGTCCGTCATAGTCTATGATTGATTATATAACTGGCTGTTATGTCATTGTGCGTGTGTGTGATGTAATGGTTTGCTAGGGTATGTGAGCTGGGAAGTAACAGTCTTGGTATCCTACCCATAGAGCGTCGAGGTGTGGCTTTAAGCCACGTTTCCAAGCCTCCTAATTATTAAAATACAGTCATTTGGGGCCACTAAGGAGGGGGAACTACCGTAGGCGCTACAATTACTTCATTTAGATTTAACAGTACTTTCTTTTTTAACACATGTAAAGAGTGGTCAAAATGGGGCAGAAACATACAAAGTAATGTCAGATTGAATATTTGCATAGTCTTTCAACATCCAAAGTAGCAGTGTTATATTTACAAAACGTTATAATGTCTTAAAATGTTAGCATCAATCCAAATGAAGTAGAAAAAAGGACAGGGTGTAAGAGATGGAGCTCAGGAAATGCAAAACGAAAAGACAATGAGAGCAACAAGGCAGGAAGGAAGAAAGGTAATAATAGAGAAAGTGAAGGTCTGGTCAGGAGACTCAGTAGATCATACAATAAAGATCCATGGGCAGGTTAAATACTATAATTTGGAAAATGTGTAGAACAGAAAAAATCTAACCAGTGGAATAAAAAGTTTAAAGTTTACCTGATGCAGAACATAATAAAAGGATGTTCAGCAATTAATGTGTTTTGAGGTCATATTGTTTTATAAGAGGTCATAGGCATCCTTTGGCACTTCGAATGTTGTGGACTACATTGCCTTTAATGCTCTTACAGCCATAATGCTGGCAAAGCATCAGAGGAGATGTAGTCCACAACATCAAGATTGCCAAAAGTTGCTTACCCTTAAAGGACCACAAAAGTGCCAGGAAACCAAACTTGTTTTCCTGGCTCTATAGGGTCTTTGGGTCCCCCTCCCGCCAGGCTCTAGGGGGAGGAATGGGTTAAAGGCTTACCTTTCTCCAGCGCCGGGGACTCTCCTCCCTCTTTTGCCGTCACCGGCTGAATGCGCATGCGCGGCAAGAGCCGCGCGCGCATTCAGTGAGTCCATAGGAAAGCATTCTCAATGCTTTCCTATGGATGCTGGCGTCTTCTCACTGTGAAAATCACAGTGAGAAGCGCAGAAGCGCCTCTAGCGGCTGTCAGTCAGACAGCCGCTAGAGGCTGGATTAACCCTAAAGTAAACATAGCAGTTTCTTTGAAACTGCTATGTTTACAGCAGGCAGGGTTATCCCTAGATGGACCTGGCACCAAGACCACTTCATTGAGCTGAAGTGGTCTGGGTGCCTATAGTGGTCCTTTAATATCAAGTATACAAAAGGAGGCATATCCACGTACAAAACAGGCAAAGAACCCAGAGAGAAGTCACCCTACAAGTGGAGTTATCTACTAGTGGCAGCAGAGGAGTGATTACAATGTTCCTGGGTTCCCTGTTTAATCCATATAATTACAGTCAAGTTCACCAACAAGCAGATGTCCTTCCTTAATTCCCCCGTTTAAATTCTGTCTTCTTTGTGATTCTGATATGTCGTGCTGTTTTCCAATACTATTTACCAATTACCTTAATATTGCTTATGTGTCAGTTTCAGAGTACTTCTTGATTCCTGACCTTACTGGGAGTAACTAGAAATTCTTATTTTTGCCTCCATGTAGGTGTTTTGTTAAACCTTAAGACTAGCAGTCGCAACAACCATTAATATATATTTTTATCCTCCCTGATCCCCTTTCTTTTTTGCTAGGTAACAGCCTACACTGATAAGCCACAACATTAAAACCACCTGCCTAATATCACCCCCCTAGTGCTGCCAAAACAGCTCTGATGTGTCAAGACATGACCTCTGAATGTGCCTTGTGGTGTCTGGCACCAAGATATTAGCAGCAAGTTGCGAGTTGGGGCCTCTATGGATCAGATATGTTGTTCCAGAACATCCCACAGATGCTCAATTGAGATCTGGGGGAATTGGAGGCCAACACACCTTAAACTGTTTGTCATGTTCCTCAAACAGTTCCTGAACAATTATTGTCCGGGGTGCATTATCCTGTTGAAAGATTAAACTGCCATCAGGGAACATAATTGCCATGAAGGGGTGAACATGATCTGCAACAAACTCTAGGTAGGTTATACGTGTAAAAGTAACATCCAAATGAATGCCAGGCTCAAGGATTCCCAGCAGTACATTGCCTCCGCTGGCCTACCTTCTTCCAATAATGCATCCTGTCATCTCTTCCCCAGGTAAACGACGCACATGCACCCAGCCATCTACCTGATCTAAACAAAAGCGTGATTCATCAGACCAGGCACCATGCGTTGCTCCATGGCCCAGCTCTGATGCTCATGTCCACATTAAAGGGGCTTATGGCAGTGGCCAGGGGTCATAACAAGCACTCCGACCAGTCTGCCGCTATGCAGCAAACTGTAATGCACTGTTTGTTCTGACACCTTTCAGCCTAGCGGTAACATTTTTAGCAATATGAGTTACAGTAGTTCTTCTGTGTGATCGGACAAGATGGGCTAGCCTTCATTCTAAACATGCATTAAAGAGCTTTGGCACCCAAGACCCTGATGCCGGTTTACTGGTTGTCCTTCCTTGCACCACTTTTGACAGGTACTAAGCACTGCTTACTGGGAACACCCCACAAGACTCACCATTGTGGAGATGCTCTGACCCAATCAGCCATCACTATTTGGTCCTTGTCAAAATCACTCAGATCTGTTCTGAAATTCAAGAACTTACTGTTTGCTTATTGCCTGATGTATCCCACCCCATGGCAGGTGCCATTGTAACTATATAATAAATGCTATTCACATCACCTGTCAGTGGGTTTTAATGTTGTGGCTGATCAGTGTATATGACATGACTTGGGGTTATTTCTAATTCCTTACAGGTGCATGTCTGGGATTTAACAGGGCTTGAATTTAGCTAAAGCAATGCCTCCAATCATGTGGTGGTGCAGTCTTGATCTAGCTGGAATGATTCTTTGAAGACAGGATGTGCTCCATGAGATTATTCTGCAAGATGGGATGCTTGATTTCTATGCAAGGAAGAACTAAGTGTTCCCTCATTTTCGAAAAGGTCAAGATACACATTTCCTAGTTATTGTTTGGGTTATATGGATTATAGATTAGCGGGTTATGGATCAACAGAAGCTTTGAAAAGTATAAAAATATGCTATTTAATGGTGTTCATATAGCAGAACAAGAAATAAATCATGGCCCAGGGTATTGTATTTCTTTAGTATCGGTTCTCTACGGAACAATGTTGCTGGAATACACATGTTAAACATTTTGGGTTGACAATCTGTTTAGTTACTTCATTTGTGACCCTCAGCAATAATGAAAATAAGTCAACATGAGGGGCAGTAAGATTCACTATTTTAGATGTTGTGTAATTTAGGCATTGGAGATAATTTTTTAAATGCCATTAGATGTTGGGAATTCAAACCAATGGTTAAGTCACTGCAGAAACGCTTCTTTCTAAATATTCGCTATATTTAGATTTTAACCTTGCCATCTGTTTCAATTTCGTTACCGAAGTCCACATAGCAGGATTTACGCCCTGCCGGTAAGTTAACTTGACCAATGTCTTACATTTCACACTAAATATCACAATTAAAGCTGCTTGTGATAAAGTTAAGAAAGCGGTGGTCAGGTAAAACAATAAGAAAAAGAACATATGGACTATACAGCCTAGAGAGGTTGCGCTGTCTAACGTAATACCAGCTGTCTGTTCATTAAGAAACTGCACTTTGGAATCAAGAAGATATAATTTCTAAACAAAATTAGAAATTGCTACAAAGTGAGTTTAGCTTTCTTTTGGATTAACTGCAGCAACAATTATTATTGGAAGCGTAAATCTGATGGATTTGTCTTTTTACAATTTCTACATAATATGCAGAATAAAACATTTTAGCTCATTGTATGTATAATAATAAAATGACTCCCAAGTGAAGCATTATGCTAATTGGAGAGTTACCTACTTGTTTTGGCATGATGACAGCTGTCAATTGATGGTATTGTGTTAGCTCAAACACTGTCTGCACTCATGGGAAAATAGTGTAGGTACTAAAACATAGCCTAATAAAAAATATAACCGAGGTAAATAAAGACGGAAAATGGTTGATCTAATTCAAGCCAGAAGGTGTTTAGTCATAGTTTTCAATATTACACATTTTCTTACAGAACATGTAATGTGCTGGCTCAGTGAACACTGCTGTATGGAGACTATGGCTCATTGGCATGTACTAGAATAGTGTGATCTACAGCCTAGTTTCTCAACCCCTCATATGCATGCCACAGCGTGTACGCGCACCACAGGCAGGGGGGTACACCAAAAAGTGGCTGGTTAGAGGAGAATGAAGCTGGACCCCAAGGAAATGGTTAGCTCCAGCTCTTCCAAAGGTATTATAGAAAAATAATAATTTGTGAGTGTGTAAGAGACTGCGTATGTGTTTGTCAGTGCGTGTGTGTGTCTCTCAGTATGTGTCAAATCAGTGAGTGCGTGTCAGATCAGTGAGAGTACATCTGGCAGTGAGTGTGTATGTGTGTAACTGTGTATATCAGTGTCTTCTTTTTGTAAATTTGTGTGTCAGTGTCCTCTGTATGTAAGTGTGTATGTGTCAGTGTCCACTGTGTGTTTATCTACTAAACAGCAACTTTGGTGCTGACAGATTTTGTTAGTTTTTTAAAAACACCTAATCTAGGCAAAAAATAATGGGGGTTTAGTTACATTATATGATCATACATTGCATAAGCTTGCCACAACGCCTATGTACCCCATATTTGGCAGGTCCTACTCTAACAGCCAAATGTCTGCTAATGAGCTACTTACTTGGGGAAAAAATTCCATCTCGAGTTCTCTGCGGTACAAGGCTAAATAGGGCACAGGGATGAGGCACCTGTGACAGGGAGGGGTGCAATACCAAGGAGTTGGCTAGACTCCTAAATATATATATATAGAAGAAAACAAGGGTCTGGCTGCACTCACCAAAACATGCATAAATAGGGTGCTGCTGGGAGCCAATAAAAATAAAAATCCAGTGCACTCCCTTATCTACTAAACAGCAACTTTGGTGCTGATAGATTTTGTTAGTTTTTTTAAAAAAAACACCTAATCTAGGCAAAAAATAATGGGGGTTTAGTTACATTATATGATCATGTCACAGGTGCCGCACCCCAGTGCCATATTTAGCCTTGTACCGCAGAGAACTTGAGATGGATTTTTTTCCCCAAGTAAGTAGCTCATTTAGCAGACATTTGGCTGTTAAAGTAGGACCTGCCAAAGATGGGGTACATTGACATTGTGGCAGGCTTATGCAATGTATGATCATATAATGTAACTAAACCCCCATTATTTTTTGCCTAGATTAGGTGTTTTTAAAAAAACTAACAAAATCTTTTTTTCTTGTTCAATAAAGTTCAGGGTTCATGCCCATAGATTTAAAAAAAAAAAAAAAAAAAATTTATATAGCTACTTTATTCTATTTTCCATACATTACCATCCTTTATTATTAATGTGACACAAACATGTGCCATGGGTTTATATGTAATATTTATATTGTACTTTAGAGAATAAATGTGGGATATAATTATGCCAGATCTTTTTGTTGTTAAAAAACAAAGAAAATTGGAGCAGTGTTTAGGCTTTATTTCCTAACAACTGAAACAGCTTATTATGTATCCAGTATCTTCCAGTAAGTTGCACTATCTCTGAGATGTACTATAATTGCAGCATACATACAGATGCATTCCTCTGCATGATGTGGTTGGTGGTCCTGACACATTTTTAGAGAAGACATAATTTAAAGTGTGGATCACAATGCATGATTATAAGCTATCAGTGTCTCACTTAGAGAACATTAGTAAAATGAAACATATTTAAATAATTAAAATGGGATTTATGGGTGCCAAGTGATTAGTGGAGAGATCACTCTGCCCAAACTGTGCAGTAAGCAAAATAGCTTTTTAAATCAATGTACATCCACAGCCACATTAATGGAACAGGGTAACCAGAGCTGGACTAAGTGTTAGGGAAGGTATACTAGATCTCTCACTTTTTATGAAATAAGGCATTTTATTAGGTTTCTGATTGTGAAGTGTTTAATATATGGCGGGTGTGCGGGATGGAACTGTTTAGCAGATTAATAAGAAATCACCAGGTTTTTCATAAAATGTTTAAATGTATTGCTATGTATATGTTTTTGACAATGAAATGGTTACTATTTCAATACAGTATTGCCAGGCCTGGCAGCAGAGAACACACACTTATTGAAAATGAAGCATGCTGATATCATTGAAACAGGTCAGGGTGCCTGCGTGATGTTTAATGTGCAACAAGGCCTCTGAGGGCAGGAGCCAGATCTATAATGTCACTAGTGTCCAAAGACACGTTAACCACAGTGACAGAACAGAAAGACTGAGAGGGGAACACAAATAGGACATTACAGGAATTGAAAAATGGAATAAGAAAGAGGGAAAGTTGAGTGCATGTATAGAAATACACAAAACAAAAAATAAAAAAAAAGGAAAAACACCAAATTCTGAAAATGGTTAGGAATAACAATAATATATTTATTATTTGTGTATATTATCATCATTTTATGGAGCGCAAACATATTCCGCAGAGCTTTACAATTACAGAAAGGGGAAGTGAAGACGAAGGCCCTGCTCAAACAATCAATTAGGATTTGATTTGAGGTGAGCAGTAGGTGTCTTATCCAGTTTTAGGGCAGTGATGTTACCACTGCTCTAACCAGCCTATTTAAATATATGTCTCTTATTATTAAATCTTATTATATCCACCTAATCCTAACCAAACTGTAGAAAAATTTACTTTGATCATGGAATTTCGTCAGACTGTCACTTACCATGGGAGACTGGCAGTGCTAGCCGTCAGCATGCAAAATAATTAATTTAACATTAACCCTCTGCGACACGACGGTTAACAAAAACCCTTCTAGGGGCTCTAATTATATTATAAAGCCTTACCCATGGACAGCAGGTTGGAGCTCTAACTAAATATTGAGAGTGAATGTTAATGCCATTGTTAGGCCTTCCCAAATCACTATGATTTGTCCACCCCCCATCCCCTGGTGCCTTAGGGTCCCCAATCCCCTTGCCAACCCCCACTCCAATTAAAGACCCTACCTCCCCCACAGTACTAATAGTGACGGGGGGAGGGGAGGGGGGGGGGACACACACAATAAAAATGTTACATGTAAGGAAAGAAAATCCTATTTACCATTAGATGTCTTCTTGCTTCTAAATATCTTTTTCAGCCCCAAATTAAATTGGAAAATAATGTGATACAACTATTAACATAAAAAAGAATGCAATCAATTGATATTGCATAGCATGGAAAAGTCCTTATAAGCACTTTTTCCACTATACAAGCTCAGTCTGCACCGAGCCCCCATGGGTAAAAGCAAATTAATCTTACTGCATCAAGGGTTTTCTTCCACGCTGGTTTTTTGTTTGTGGGGGTGGGTTGCAACGTATTATTTTGGAATTTGTTTTTGCCTTTTGGGGGGCTGAAGAAAATAATTGGCTTAAACTTGAGTGGTGTATTATATAAGGTTGCTACTGTAAAGCTAAGATTACCGTGATGCAATGTCTTCACACAAATGTAAAGGAAGCAGCTGATGAGATGTGGACATTGCAAAATCAGTGGACGCAAGATACTGATAGATTGGAAGGAAATGTAGCATTGGATAGGACGATGTGTGTGGATGTGTGTGGAGACTAGTAGGCAAGTATGGGAGTGTGAAAGTCAAAACCAAGTTAAACCAAAGATGAACCCTGAAAAATATGCAACTACCAACAAGATAGAGGGGATGAATGTTCTGCTAGCTTAGCTCATTACAGCAAGTTTGCTTCATTCAATATGGTAAAGAAACCATGTACCACTTCTCTTAAACACACGTGCTATGGTCTGACTAGTAGCATAGGCCTTTAAATGTTACGCCGTGATATTAAGACACCCAAACAGCATGGGATGTCAGTGTGTAATGGGGCCAAGGCGACACCCAAGCGTAAAAAGTATTTACTTGTAACGATAGAGTTTTTCTTTAATGTAGTTGTGTATGCATGTGTGCTTGGAAAATGTAGTGTGTGAATGAAGAAGTGTATACTGTATTTGGGTAAGTCAGTGGCCATAAAATGTCACTGCATACAATACAGGTGTTTGTAAGCCCAGAGTGCTTGAATGTAGATATATATGTGCAAAGTTGTGTGTCTATAAGTTACGTGTTTGACATACGTGCAGAACCAAGAACCACGGATGCTAATCAAAATCGTAATCAGGAAATCAAACTAAAGAAAAAACACGCAACCAGGCTCAACAGAAATAGCAAATAAAGTGTGCGTCAAAACTTGCATCACCAGAAGGTGACTTACATTGTCAAGTTGGGGAAATTTTGTTGTAATTTGAAAACATGATTAAAGGACCACTATAGGCACCCAGACCACTTCAGCTTAATGAAGTGGTCTGGGTGCCTGGTCCAGCTAGGATTAACCATTTTTTTTTTTTTTTTTTAAACATAGCAGTTTCAGAGAAACTGCTATGTTTATAAATGGGTTAATCCAGTCTCATTGACAGCCGCTAGAGGCGCTTGCGTGCTTCTCACTGTGAAAATCACAGTGAGAAGACGCCAGCGTCCATAGGAAAGCATTGTAAATGCTTTTCTATGAACTGTCTGAATGCGCGCGGCTCCTGCTCCTGTCGCTATGAAGGAGGAGAGCTCCCCGCCCGGCGCTGGAGAAAGGTAAGATTTTAACCCCTTCCTCTCCCCTTAGCCCGGCGGGAGGGGGACCCTGAGGGTGGGGGCACCCTCAGGGAACTATTTCCTGGCACTATAGTGGTCCTTTAATTTTTTTTTACTGTTAATGTGGACATTTTGGAATTACATCACAATTCTTAAAGAGGAACTGTAATTTCTGTCATTGACTTAATAAAACAATGAAAACTTTAACCTTGTTTCACAAGATGTTCTGCTTTTTTTAAACTTTAAATGACAGATTTAGTAAATTACATCATAATCACAGTTCAGGCAAGTCAAGGCAAACACTGCTAACAAAGAAGAAATAGAAACATATTTACACAACTTTAAAAACAAAAAAACAGATTGGTCTAATAATTCTCCCCAATTGTATAAATTCTCATTTTCTCTGTATGCTTTCTCTATGCTGACTTGCATTCCTTATAACAATATAGCTAAATACAATGGTTTAGCACTGAAATCCTTATTTATTTAAACCAACAAGTAAAGATGAAGGATGTTTTGATTAAAAAACTGGCTTTTGTAAAGGCTTAACAAAGGCCAGGGTACTGGCCGAAACATAGCTCTTGTGCTGGTGGAAACAATGAAGAATCAGAGTGCTGAACCATTCTTTTTAGCTGTATTGCTTTGCTGAAATGCAGAAGCGGGGGCAGGGAGCTAAGATGAAGGCACCCATATGCAAGATAAAGAGGTGTGGATTTCTATATTAAATTTTATTTCTCACATCTCAGATACATATATTTGTTAAATACAGTTAAACATAGTATTAAAAATCCCAGGACGTGACCGCTCTCCTTTAACCACTCTCGAGTTGCTCAGAGATAATTTGTGACTAAAGAATGCGGTTGAACTAATCAGACCTTAATGATGGGGAAGTGGATGAGGAATAGCTTTATTTATTCCACGGCTTCCTCCCCATCTAGCCCATTTTCCCTTTTTATCATCCCACCTCTTTTTAACTCTGTTTATAATGGCCTCACTATGGGGAACACTTTAGGTTGTGGTGCCGAGCAAATATGTCATCTGAACGAAGCAGCCTTAACGCACAGCTCATAGTGCTTTAAATACATTGTATCTGAGCATAAATAATTATTAAAAAGTCTTACCTGTTACAACACTGTGTTCTATTCCATGATTCAGCCTGTAAAATATCAACAGAACAAGATCAGAGCTATTAAAATTCCAAATTATGCTGAATCACACTATATGTATGAGGAAGAAATTTGATTTGTGCGTGTACATAAATTAACATACCAAACAACAGAACGTGAATGACCTGATCTGTTTGGATGGATGTCTTGGCTGGATGGCAAAACTGATTTTAGTGTTCTAATAAACTCCACCCTTATAAGTCAAATATTCAGCTACGTTTTCCATTAACAGTGCCCCCTGGTGTCTGCCATTAACAATTGCTGTTTGCTCACATTGTTCATCAGAAATGTTTTTTTTTGGTCTGTGGAAAATACTTGAAACAAAACTTGGTGTAAATCAGGATTTAATTGAGCCTGGTAACGAACACAAAAACTAAACAAAACTTAACAACGGTTCAAAATGAAAATGATAGAAATCTAGCTGTTCACGGTACATATAGGTTTTATATATAAGGTATCTAATTTAATTATAAAGAAATCAGCACTTTTTGTGTTCTTGAACACCAGAAACCTACCTCAACGTCTGTGAAAGAAAGAAAAATAAATAAATTGATTTCTCTGTTCTCAAAGAGCAGAGACTCACCTGGACATACAAAAAGGATATACATGTATGTACAGCGCTACGGAATCTGATGGCGCTATATAAATAATAAAATAATAACAATAGTAATATAGAACTCCACACACACTCTCCCTCTAGACAAGTGATAGCCCTAAAAATTAGACCCTAAACTGTTATACAACATGATGGTTTGCCAATATCATAGGTGGTTTAGTAATACAGCAGCTGGGGGTCTATTCATCTTTTTGGACCATCCCAATAGCAAATTTCAAGTGTATGATATCAAGTCCCATTACCTGGAGAAGGTTTCCATGTTATAACAAGATTTCTCAACTTAAGGATTATTGTTTTGTTTTTTTCAGAAAGTGCCTTTAAAGATAAATTAAACTGGTAGGCAAAAATCAGCTCAATGTATCAGTCCCCACAGCGCTGATTAGACTATGTTGTCCACAAAGGCCTGATTTTTCTCTGCGTTCAAAGAAAGCTGTTTATGTTCCATTGCTGAAGTGAGAAATCTCCTTCCTCCAACAAAACAATTCCCAACCCTGCAGTCTCTTGCACAACCCTCCTCCTCCTCCACTAAAGCCCTCCCCTGTGCTAAACACCATCTCCACGTGGCTAGTCATGTGGTCATGTTTACAGTGCCCTGAACCAGTCTGTGAGGCATGGGGATATGGATGTCACACACTTTGCACAGTCTCCCTGACTCTTGCCTGTTAGTCCTATCACTGCACACAATGCAGACGTCTTTGAGATGTCAGGGCCTCAAGCAGACAATGCATGATGGGGTCCGCCCAGCATCAGGAGAACAAAAGGGTCCTGTCCCAGATCTGAGAACAAAGGATGCATCTGCTGCCATTTTTATCTTAAAAATCCCCATCAGTATAGTTATTCAGTTTATCTCACAGTCAAGAGAATGAAGCACTTATTAGCAGCTATTAGACTTTTGTTTATTATTATTATCAAGTTATGAGCAGTTTAAAATATTTATAGTTTTACGGAGAAAAAAGTTATTGAAAAAAAGTATTTTTTAGTTTTTTTTTTTTTTTTAATCCTTTAATTATGTGTGAAAAGTAACTGTATTATCCAACTGAAGAGGCAGATCTTGTTCTTGCGGGTGCCAATTCAATATAAAATAAATTGGTGTTTGTGTTTCCTATTGGTCTTGGAGAGGGGAGACCGAGCAAACGGTTTACTTCCCAAGTGGCTAGATCGAGAGTAGATAACGTCTATATTAAAAAGGAGGACAAGATCAGCAATGCTAACCATGGCCTTGATTTAATGCACGTTACAAAAGTTAATAACCTTAGACAAACTTTAAAAATGATTTACAGACGTCACCATTAAACGCTGAACAAAAATTGTAGTCCAGGCACTCAAGGATCAATTCAGCAGGTTTATTGGAACAAAGTGCAACGTTTCGATCCCACAAGGGATCTCTCTCAAGCTTGTGAAAGATCCTTTGTGGGATCGAAACGTTGCACTTTGTTCCAATAAACCTGCCGAATTGATCCTTGAGTGCCTGGACTACAATTTTTGTTCAACTATTTCAGGAGGTGGCACCAGGATTGTAATAAGTGTGCAGTATTCCTCTCTATTTTTGTTTATACACCAATAAACGTTATGTGAATTTTTATAGAATTCCTTTAAGAATAAATTTTCTAACAGTACTGAATCACTTAGAAAGCTTGTTAAATGAGGTCTATATTAGCATTATGTTATAAAGGAGTATTCACAGAATTGTTTCCGGGGACAAGCAAAGGCAATCACTCTAAGGTACCATTCAAATCAAAGCAATTTTCAGCACAGACCACTCCCCCACTCCCCCCCTTCCTCCCCTGCTGTTGACTCCATTGGCAGAGTCCTATATTTCATGAGCACTACCTACTCTAGATTGGAGTTAGATAACATCACATTTAAAAATTAAAACAAGCATATTCCCTATAAATATCACTCTTACAAATATGCATTTTCACCATCATTGTATCTATGTATATTTTTATAGAATATATAAAAAGCACTGTGTGAAGTGGTCTCCAAATTTTTACAAAGGCGGGTTGTTTAACATTTGTAGATATAAGCTGGTGCTGGCCGGACCCTACTAAATGCCTGATCTAGACTAACACTTTGGGGGGCAAATTTAACATACAAATACCAATGGGGTGTGTATGAGGACAGTGCTGCATTACCTGGGCACGGTGCTATACAAATTGCAGACACAAATAACTAGCTGCATACAAGTGTACACAATCCCAATACGAAAATGAGAAGTCTAGCACATTTGCAGAGGTGTAAAAAGCAGCCAAAAATATTAGGACTAAAATTCATTTCTCACCATCGCCATCGACCAGCAGGGAAAAGTGGAAACTCAATACCACTGCATTAAGCTGCTTACAGCCAAAATCAAATACAACAAAAAGTTAAATGATTTACCATTTTACAGCATATACAAAAAGGAAAAATAAGTAATCTGAGGTTTTATAAGATTTCAACACTGCAGAGTTATAATGTGATCTGACAAACATCTGTGTTTATTTATCAGATGCTCTGCAATCTCTGTGGTTGCTGCTCTCATACACTTGCTCTAATATAGCGGTGGTGTGGTCTTGTTTTCTTTGACACTTATCACATGATGCAACATGTTTTGTTTCAATGTAAATTCGGTAAACTCATTTCCAGTAACTTGAATATTTGCGATGATATTTAAATGGATGCTCTAAGCAGCAAAAATCACTTAATTAGTGAAGTGATTTTAGATATGTATTCTGTGTATGAAAGATTGCGGCTGTAAACGCTGCTGTTTCTGAGAAATGACAGTGTTTACATTTTGCAATTTCTACGCCTCATAGGGACCTGTGCGTCCAATGCATTTATATGATAACCAATAAACTACAGTTTCTCATAGAGAATTACCAAATTGACAGATTACAGTGTTTGTTGCATGTTAACAATGCTTCTCTGTGAGAAGCATATGATTGGACACAGACCATCAAGATTGATGATCTCACTGTAGGAGGACCAGACTGCAGTGAGAATTCTGTTCCAGCTCTGAATTACGATTATGGTATTTTTAAAGGTTTGTTTGTTTTGGTTTTTATAAGGGTGGTCCATTGTTCTAAACTAATACAGGAACACATCTAACGAAAAAAAATAATAATCTGTTTTAAAAAAGTATTGTGTGACTGAGGTTGAAATTTTTAAACTTTTACTAATAAACTGTAAGTAATAAAGTTAACAGCACTGATTAGGGGGGGAGATGCAATCCAAAGAATACTAGATCCAATATGTTTTTTTAACATACCATAGATACCTCTTTAAAAAAAGCAAGTTAAGCACATATATGATCGCACTTTGTATGAAAGAAATAATGGTATATACAGTGTTAGATGTGTAAAGGCATTTTATTTATTAATTAAAATGTTAGCTTACATTTCTATGTCTATGTCTTACAATTACTACAATGGTGCATTCACTAATGTTTGGACTCCTGATGTGACCTCAGTCTGTAACTTTCCCTATATAGCAATCCCAATGCATTCCAAAGTGCATTTCAGTGATTAATGCATTTCAGTCTTATGACTGACTTGGAGGCAACATGCCTCCAACATTAGAATTCCTTAACCCCTTAAGGACACGTGACATGTGTGACATGTCATGATTCCCTTTTATTCCTGAAGTTTGGTCCTTAAGGGGTTAAAGGTCATCATAAAAGGCATAATCCACAAATATGACGCTTGCAGTGGTTGGGACGGTGCACTGTAAACAATGTTTGCAGTGGGTGAATATAAATGTATTCATGCAGTTTGAAATGGTGGGCATGCAAAATATTAGTTAGCTGTATTTTTTACCTTATGTTTTCTCTAGCACTATGTACACGTGATTAATCATGCTGTGGATAACAGGTCCACTTTAACGGTTTTAATACAAATCTTATCAGAAACAGAGCTCAGACTGTGAAACTATACACTGCTACGGAAAGGCCCTTTAGAATGATTGGAGATTGATCACTAAATAGGAAATTGTGGGGAGTTAAAGAAGTTTCAATTTTGAGGCCACAATAGCCAAGTTAAAAGGTTGACCATTTTTTTGCCAAGTGAGATTTTTCCCAACTCTGTTATTTAGTGGTGGGAAATGAAATATAAATAAATCGATAAAGCCAAATTGTGCCCAATAGCATATTTTCTGCTTGTCTATGATTGACCCAATATATGAGTCATTACGTCTAATATTCACATCTTGAAATAAGTCAGTAAGCTGCTATATCCTGATATGCAGCGCGTCACATCTCATCCGACCCACAGCAGGTCTCTACATTCTCAGGTCAACAGCTGCTACATAGTGTGCATGTGATGCCAATACAAATGGCTCTTGCGTTATGCATGAATGGCGAGTGTGTGTATCTTTACAAGCGTGTATATTAATAGACTAAATATCAGCAAAATGACTTGAATACAAATGTAGATGTATGTAAACACTGAGTTTACACAAACAGTGTGTGCTGCTGTTAAAATACTTCATAAAACTATAATTAGTTGACAAAAACTTTTTCAGCAATCGTATCACTGGCACAAATAGCAAAGAATCCCTTTAGCGGCAGTTTGAGGTCTGTGTTTGCTGAGGTCAATATAAATTGATCTGATAACTTATCCAAATTTATGACTGTGTGCAACCACTTCCTTAGACATTAATTATATGCAAACATATTAGGCTAGATCTCTAGAAAATAAAATTTTAAAAAACTGTACCTCGTCCCTATAAACTTAACACATTGAAGCACAGTTTTCTTTAGATAAGTGACCTATAGATAAGGCATATTAGTTACACACAATATTTCG